AATAAATATTCCCATCGTGTATTTCCTCTCATCCATAGCACTTGTTATGTCCTCCATCAGGTCGGTAATGGCCAGGGATGTCGATCGGTTCGACCTAAAACCATATTGGCAATCAGAGAGGATTTTATGTCTATCAATAAATGTATCTAATCTGTTATTGAATAGTTTTTCCAAGATTTTTTAAAACTGTTACAACAGAGAAACTGATCTATAATTTGTGAAGACATGAATTTTCAAATCATAGTAGAAATCCTGTAATGTGCGGACAGCAAACAACACACAGCAACACTGCACACTTTGATATGTTCCTACTCTGTAGTCAACAGGAGTGTTGTGACTGTACTGCAGCGAGCCAAGACCTCCTGCCTCCCCTCGTTCTCCTCTAGCTGCATTCATCCAGCCGGTTTCCTCTGCGGTGCTGCACAGCTTTCGTTCCTGCAGCTGTAGACCTGCCAGGTCAAAGGTCAAAGTCCTCTCCAGAGAGCGCAGGTAGTTTAACAAACCGAGAGAAATTCTCTGTAGGGGAAAAAATAAAGACAGACTATTGTTAATCATTTTATAAAGTGCATAACTAGATCCCTAACTACCAGACATCACTCAGAACATACCTACGCACCACCAGACTGCCACATCAGAACATACTACTTTTTGCCTCACCTGGAGCTGTCTGAGTTTGAGATGACGCAGGTAAATCAGGGACAGGTAAGCGCCTCGGTTTATGATTCCAGGTTCCTCCAAACTGTCATCCAGACCCAGAAGATGCAGACTGTCCTCAAAAGAGTAGCTGTGATTTCTTGAAGGAGCAGAAGCACTGAACTGTTACGATGCTATGAGATGACCTCAGTGTTTACATCTCCAAATTAAGTTTTACAAAAAAAATTTAATTATGTAAATACCATTCTTTTTTTCTCTGATTTATCAAGTCCAAACTTTACTTGCACAAATACTAAACTCAGGAATACAGTCGCTTACTAATTTTTAGAACATTTTTCAACTACTCAATATATTGCATCAGAAGAAAATGCTTATTAAAGTTTCTGAAGACTAAAGTAATGTCTGCAGGTTGTTTGTTAACAGATGAGAAAACCAAAAAAGATTAAATATACAGTAATATAAAACTGAAGAAGTCTTATTTGAGAAGCAGAGAGCAGATCATGTTTAGCTGTTTTAAATGATTTGTGATTAAAAACACAAATGGTTGTTGATTAATTACCTGTCCAAAAAGGAAAAAGTTCCACATCACATTGCAACATTAATTAGTTAACGTTAATTTCTTTGCACCTTTCATTTGCTGCACTTGAAGTTTGACTCCTTATATCATGCCCTGCTCTGTCTCTGGAAGTGGACGACTGATCGCGTGTTTCCTAACAAGACAAATGTCACATTTAATATATTGGCAGCACTGAGGAAAGCTAAGACTGTATCCATCTATCTAAGCAGAAAAGATGATGATACATGCCTGAGTTAAGCTTGCAGCATTATAAATCCTCATCCATATCTCTGAGATGTTGCATCGTTTTGTCTTACTACTGTGTGAGACAGGTGAGCTTGGTGTAGGCTGCAAGACGCCAACATGAGCGACATGTTCTTTAAGAGCTCCAGCAACACGGAACAGATCAGGGACCTGATCAGATACACAGCAATGAAAAGTTAACAGCTGATGTCTGAAGCAAAACATGGCAGGGTTGCATTTGTTGGGAAACCAGAAGAGCAAATGTTTCTTACATGTGGTCAATAAAACTCATATTAAAGCACCAAAAAATAATCTATTAGAAAAATAAATATCAAATGCCAATTTAAGGAAATGTTAATTCAGAGATAACAGATCAGCAGAATTACCTGAAGAAATCTGGAGTGCATCTTCAGCAGTTCATCTACAGATTTCTTTTCTTTTAGCTTCATGACGAGCTTCTGCTGCCATGGGTCCCGCCTGGGTTTCACCTAAAAAAACAAACAAAACAAGAAAATAAAAGTGTCACAATCTTCTGTTCTCCCACCTCCTTCGCTTGATGTACTCTTACAACTTGAAACATGAGCGAATGAAAACAAACTTTTAAAAAAAGGGTGGATTAAGCAGAGATAGTGAAAAGGTACTTCTCTGACCAGACACAAAAACAGTTGCAAATGCAAAGGGAATATTTAGAACAAAATTTGGTTATCATAAACAGAGTAAAAGATTATTCTCTTACTCAGGGCTCCCACTCTTTTCAAGAAATAATTTTCCAGGACACTTTCAATGCCATAAGGCTGTGATGTTAAATGGGGATCACATCCTAGACGGACACATTCCTTTGTGTGGAAGCCTCTTTTAAATCATATGGATTAATCTATGATGATTCTTTTTCTGTGTAACTAGTCCTTAGGTGCTTTATGGCTGATTGATTATTGAGGTCTGTCGCATTCTGCCAAACACACACGCAGATGTTCAGTCCCTCAGTGCATGACTGTTTCACTAAATATGCGAGCTTTGCTTTCTGCAGTTTTCTTGTCTCTCTCTCCATGGTCTCTTTTATATCACAGGTTAAGGTGACAAAATAAAAACCTGACTCTGGAGGCTAGCATAACTAAGCAACATTAAACTAAGCAATAATAAACAGAGTAACATACAAGAAGAGTTCTGTATTTTTCCTACAATTTCTAAATGGATTTGTGTAGGTGACATTGCAGATAACGATAATCTTGGAAAGTGCCTGCAGAAGATAGGTTTTGTGTTCATTAGTTAAGACTTGACTTATTATACAGTATCTTCAAACGGCTTATTATTTGTTTACTCAGATTCAACTCAAGAGTACACTTGACCATCAAGAAAGGCTCTTGGCTTAGTCCATTCTATCACTGATTGTCTTGTGTTAAAAAACAAAAAAAAACACAAAAACAATCCAGCTAGCCAATTAACATTAAACTATAATTCCTCAAGTGGTGGAGCAATAAATCTTAACATGTTTAAAGGTAAAACTCATTACTAGCCAATACTTACACATTTTTGCATTTCAACTACCAAGCTGCTTACATTCCATTGTGATTTTACCCATCCAGTTATTCACATCCTCTTCAACCTGACATGAAGTGGTACATTTAACAGCTAGTGGTTGAGGGTATTCAGAGCATACAAAAACTACTAAAAACAGGCCATAAACTTCTGCCCTTGTCATTCTAACTTTATGTCAAACATTGTCCTAATTTCAGCTGCCAGCTCATGCTGAGGTCTGACAGTTTGCTCTCAGCAAAAGAAAAATACAAAAATGTGAAAATTATTTTCCAAGATGAAGGTATGTTTTTCCAGGACACTGTACATTTTATCTCAATTTGCATGACTTTTCGATGACTAGAAAACTGGTTTTAAAAACCTCCAGGTTTTCTAGGAAGTGGGAACCCTGATACCCTGATACTTTAACAAATCCAATACCATCTATCCATGTATATGGGTTTTGGAGAGACTATTTGGCCCAGGTTTTACATATTCTTTTTCAAACCTGAATGAAGGGGATCCAGTTGGCCTCCTGCTTCAGAGCCATGCTCGCACTTTGCCTGCCCCACTGCCTCTCTTTCACCTCGGAACTGTTGTACTGAGGAAATGTTCCCATCTGCTCTTGGTGTCTGAAGATTGTTCTGAACTCCCTCCAGACCTGATCAGACAGTAGCAACTTTATATCTTCATTATTTAAATACACAGTGGCACAACTTTGTATATTAGTGTGCTTAAGGTTTGTAGCACATCAAACAACAGTACCATACTGAACAACTCCATCTCATCCGCAGTGGTCCTGAGTTTTCCAACATCATAGGACAAGTGGAAGTAGGTGATCAATGACTGCAGCTCAGCTAGAAACTCCTCCAAGTGAACAGTGTGCAGGGGAACAGCAGCAGCCAGTCCTGAAACTCCTGGAGTTCAGTGTAGTTGGTGTCAACTTCTGTGCACTATGTACAGTAAAACCTAACATCTGAACTTCTCATATCATCCTTGCTTTTGTCCCCCTTTTCAACATTTAGATTTTTACATAGGGACCTGCCTGTGTAGATGCATTTTAACATTACACCCTATTATTTTGAGACCTATTATGTTATTTCATTTTTTTCACATTGCTATACCTGCTATCTGATACCTGTATCTTGGCCGCTGCCATAATTTATTTATTTTTAAATCAGGAGTATTGTGATTACCAGATGAAAATTTCTATTGAATTTGGTTATTAGACCTTTTGATACCAATTTCCCCAAACTTTAACTTTTTTTTCTTTTTTTTTTGGAAACTAGTCAAGATTCACAGAGGATCATTCATAGTTCATTCTCGACTTAGAAAATTGCATATGGCAAAATAATCTCACTGGCACATCCATTTAATAGTTGTTCTGAAAATTTCAACCAGATACATAACTGAATTTGTCCAGCTGTCATGAAATTGTAGATATATTATCATGCCTGCAAATCATATTTTTGTTACACCCTGAACTTTCTTAGAGCTGCCATCCATCACAAACTTCCACTTATAGACAAGAAATATCAAAATCTAATGGACAAATTCCCATTAAAGTTACTGAAATATTCCTCATCCCCAGAGGACTTTGCTATATTTCAGCTAACATTACTCAATTTCAATTTTAATCTATCGTCAGTGTCTCTAAATAGATTCTCAGGTTATTGCTGGTTTGTGTCTCACCGTCAGCATGTTGAGTTTGGTGTGAAGTCTCCTCCTCCTTCATGACTGTAGGCTGAAATTCTTCATTTCTCCTTTCACAAGATGGTATATAGTGAAGCACCTATAAAAAAAAAGAATTAACTCAAGTAGGTTAATTATGTGAATGTGCATTAATGAAAACAAAAAAATTTGTAAATAAAACACATTGGACAACAAAAACTGATGCATTTAAACTGGTGGTGGATTTTTACCCTGAGGAAGTTGTGAATGGTTTGAACTGAGTGCAGATGGCAGACGAGCCACCGGAGGTAGATGACCACATCGTCGTGAGTGAGCAGGTTGGCAGGGTTTCTTTGGCCGGTGAGCATCATCTCTCTGCTCACAGACAGTCTGCGAGCTCTCTCAACGGTGTCCTCGTACTCACTGGTCAAGTATAACACCTGGTCCTGAGAGAAAGCATGCCTTATGTGATCTGGTGAAGATGACAGAGCTTGAAAAATCCAATACTGAGGGATTCTCATACATTTTGGTATGTTTGTATATAGCTTTTTTTTATACACATAAGAGTGATTTTTTTTTATTTAAAATGTTCTTGTCACATTTTCTCACTTTACATTCTACATAAATAATCTCAATATCCCTGCAGTAGCACAAAATAACCATTACAGTCAAACATTTAATAAGGATGAAGAACTAGAAAGAAAACCTTGCTTGCTAAATGATACAAGTCTTTTCACTGTCACCTTATAGTGAGAATAAAGCCTCTCAATGACGCTGGTGTGGCGGCAAAATCTCCTCCATCTCAGCATGAGCAGATATTTGATCTGAGCCAAGTGATATGATCTGTCTGTAAAAAACTGTAATACAAATACAACCAGGAAAATTGTTTATCTCTCATCTCATAATTCCAATCTATTGCCTGTTCTGCTACATATGAACTCTTGCTTTTAGCTGAGGTTCCTTTTCTGTGGTGCTTGTGTCATCCTCACCTGGTGCAGGAGAGGAGGCAGGCTGTCAGGTGTGTACTCTAGAGTCAAACAGCTTTCCAGCTCTCTCTGCATCACAGCTGCTTGAGATTGAACTGGTAAAGCTTCAGCCACCTGCAACCAGGACAACACAGATAGCCAGAAAAGGATAAGCAAATCTGCAAAAAAACCCAGTGATGTTCAGGGTGCAACTGTCATTATTTATTATCTGAAAATTCTACATTTGTCATGACACAGAAACTGACAAATTAATTTAACCCCCAGACTGTCCTTGATAAAAATACAAACTGCAGATCCAGTCTCACCTGAAGTCCTCTCCTCAGGGCATGTTCCCTCTCCAAACGGAAGTAAGAAACATCTTTTGGAGGTGGGACAGAACTGAAAGAGAACTTGCAATTAATAAAACACTCTTTAAAACAGGACTATGAAACTTTAAAAAAAATGATATAACAGTTTCAAAACTAAATTCAAAAACAGCAAGATGCACGCTTAACATTCTGAGTTTTACTGCTACAGCCTTTGGCTACTTGTTCAAGTATTACCAGTAACATTTGCATATGGTGGCTAATGTTAGCAAAATTTAACTGGATACTGCTTTTTTTCATTACCGAATTCAATCAATTTCACGCGCCTCTACTGTGCTACAGTTTTAGTATTTACCCTTCTACTCTCATGTAGACGTTTTTAAACGAAATGTAACTTGCGGACCTGGTGGTCTTTAGCTAACTGCTAACAGCACGCTAAACGCTCACAGCGACAGTTAAGGGTAACGTGTTAGCATGCTAACATTTGGTAAACCTAAGTGATATCAGTTTTATAGGTATTTGGTCATAAACCAAAGTACAAGAGAAACTAAAATGTTTTAGCCTGATGCTGGCGCTAGAGGAGAAGTTAAGAAACCGTCAACGTTATTTAAATACATCCAGTGAACTCACAAGGTCAAGGCGAGTCGCTGTCCAGAGATACGTCAAAGCTACCGTGGCCCCATTAGTGTGGGCTAACGCGGTAGACTAACAGCTAAGCTACGCTACCGCCACCTAGATGATAGACAGCCTAAAGATGAATGAGGATTTCCCAAGTGAGACAAATGGCAGCTGATGCACAAAACATTGTGAAAACAAACAATTAGGCATTTTATCATAATTTTTAAATCGTTTTTTTACGGAGAATAAATTCGACATAGGCTCCATTTACCTGGCAGTCAAACGTTTTCAAAACAAGCATTTAGGATTCCCTCCAGAGATGCTTTAAGAGATAAAGATGGTCTTTCTCTGTCTATTTTTAACAAAATGTTCAAACACCCAAAGAAATTAAAATCAACTAACAATTGCACATTTAATCTTTTTTTTTCAGTAAATTATTTTTAATGAGAATACATTTTACTTAAATCCTACTGACCTGGTCATCTAAATACATTAAAAACAGACATTAAAGATAAACACTGTATAATTTGTCTGTTTTCTGTTTTTTCAGAAAAAGTTTTAAAGGCTTAAAATGACATCCTTCCATAAAAAATTGAAGACTCAACAAGAAAATATTGCTAATGTAAAAAGGATCAACTTGTGGACACAGGACGTCTCCTACTTTTTAGTGTGTGTGTACTGGAAGTTTTCACTCCACACTTGTGTAATTTGCTGGATATCGGTTAGCTAATCGTAATGTCTCAAAATCATGCTTATATTGTATGTACTGTCCTAAACTCAGATTTGATGGAGAGTAGAAAGAAATTTTGCCCCTTCAGCAGTCAACTTGTAGACATACAGTATATTCATCATTCTGCACAGGGAAGCTCAAACATTAAATATTATTTGCAAATGTTATCTGACACAGGATTTCACATTAAATAATCATAACCACCACCAAGCTTCCAGACCTGTAGAATTTGTTGTGCACTGCTCCCCGTGGAAATCCATTTTCCTCAGTTTCCTCCCTGAGTGCTGAGAGTTGATGCGACAGCTCTGCCTCCATCTGCTCCACTTTGACAGAGAAGGAAACTCTGTATATATCACACATGGCAGACCCTGTTACTCAAGATCAACACATTTAGAAACCGAAAATATTAGAAATAAAAACTGAAAAAATGGCAACTCTTTTACTTCTGCCAAATCTTGTCTTCTGTACTGACTTGTTGTGGCGTATCCATAGAGACGACCATCCATGCAGCCAGGCTTCCTGTCTGCTATCTGGACAGACAGTGACTGCATTTGAACTGCAGAGGGCTCTAATGTTTCACTATCCTCCTTTTTTTAAGGTTGCAATAACAGGACGTCAGTGCTATTGGGCTTTTTAGATAACTGCACTTTAACTGTAATTTGCAATACAATAAATGAACATAACATCATTCACAGTGCATTAGTTGTTGAGTAGTATCTACCTCAGCAATCAAAGCTCCCGTTTTCACAAACCTTGACTTAATCTCAGTGTGGCCATTCCTCTTGGATACAGTATATGATTGGTTCTTAGCTCATGATGTGATTATCCAATAGCAAATCAACCTCCAAAGTGCCTGCAGAGTCAAGTCTGCAGCTGTGCAATTCCTCTATGGGTAGAAATAAAAGAAGATATAAAAACTCCACCTTTTCATATGTTCTTCAAGCTTTATTTACATGCACCATCTCTGATACAACCAATATAGGAACTGGAATCACAACTGGACATGTCAACTTGATGTCTCTTTTTTGTAGGAGCAATAGGAAGAAATGAAGGATGACTACTGGTAGTGAATGTTACTCCAATTTAATGCAGAAAAAGATGAAGTTTTGTGTTTTCTAAGATGAAATCATTCACCTGAAGCTACAAAAATGATATCTGGAACCACATTTGTGCAGAATGTATTTTTGTTAAACCATAAATTAAGCTAATGGGATTCAATGTCTCATATTAATGTTGGTTAAATTCAAGAGGATGGAACATTTTGATTTTCTCATTGTGATGTGAACCGACCATTAACACTAAAGTGCTTTTACACAGCTCTAACCCACTATACATGGGGGAAAACTGTCTTAACATGAAAAAAATAAATAAATAAAATCTTTTTAAATGCCATCTTCAATTTAGCAAGGAGACAAATTCCCTCTGCTTCCATCAGTTAAAATATGTAAATAATAAAAAAAAATCATCCTGCTGTTCCTACAAAAACTGTGCTGATGTTTTTTTGCACCTATAGCACTATTTATACACTGTATTTCCTCCTATTCCCATTTATTTAAATGCAGAAATATTTTGGCAATCTTTAAAATACTGTGGTTTCTTTCACAAATGGCAAAATGGCTCTAAGATACTACATAAGCTCCTCTCACAAAGTTGGAAACACTATTTTCCCCAGCACCTGCTATAGTGCTGATAACAAAGGGGAGGCTACTAACGATGCTCCATCTGCAGCCCCTCCCTGCTATCTCTTATTTATAGCACCAAGAACTCCTTCAAATTACTGTAACAGACACCAAAATACTGGTAGTAGAGAGCTGTGGACACTCCGAGTGTAGTTATGGTATTCCAACTACAGACAGGTGACAAATGAAAGGGAAAACACAACATAAAGTGCCTTAGTGGTGATGGGCCACCATGTGCCACCAGAACAGCTTAAGTGCACCTTGGCATTGACTATCCAAGTCTCTGAACTCCATTGGATGGATGAACACCATTCTTCCAGAAGATATCCCCTCATGTGGTGTTTTGACAGTGGTGGTAGAGATGCTATCTGACACTTGGGCCAAAATCCCAAACCATTCATTAAGTTCCTGTGCCCTGTGGATGGAGGCACCGTCATCATTGAAGAGACCATTCCATCAGGTTTTTTTCTTTAACATGTCACCCGTCTGTAGTCCCCTGTGTCTGCTAATGTAATGATGTCAACTAGCACTAAATCATGACCTTAATTCTGTCCTAAACTCTCTATGCTGAGTAGTACTTCCAATATTGCAGTAAGTGGAAGAGAAAGAATGGGGAAGATGGTGGAAATGGATCTGCAGCAGAAAATACATATTATTAAGAATTCAGTAATGCACCTCCTAAGAAAGGACATAATTCACAGTAATGTCACTAAAATCACAGGGTAAAATTTTCTAAATAAAACATTACATACAAAAACCACACAATGAAGATCAGTTCGCATGTTAGCACATTGATATTTGGTGCGTGACTCGGTGCATCAATGGGGGGAAAAAAGCTTTTCATCAACACTTCTTTTGAAATTTTTAGTCCATTTAGGCAAGTCTCTCAAAGAAACTTTAAAAAAAAAAAAAGCTTGCCACGCATCCTCTACTGGAACATAATTTTGTAACATTCTCTGCAGCTTTTTTCTGTAAACAGGCTGTCACCCACCAACAGGCTGACAGCTGGTTTGGCAAACATGTTAGTTTGGATATGAAACGGTGTGAGAGGGGAGGGCGCGCAGGACAAAAGCATAATTCTTCTTCAGTTTCATGTATCGCTTTGTGAAATAAGTGATTCCCTGAGACTAACATGAGTTGATGTTTTTCATATAATTTTAACAAAATGGCCTGTACTTCCATTCAGTGCTGTTGTTCACACCGCCCAGGCATTTTTAAATTTAATTCAATGTAAAGACACCAGTTTGTGTTTTTCAGACACTTGAAATACAGTACTGAACTTAATGCCTCACATTAAAAATAATGGAAAAATTACATGAATACACTTTTACATACTTGCTTTCCTCTAGTTGCACAATCCATGACAATGAACCCCAATTTATATTTTCCCCACATTTTTTTTTTTATTTTTTTTTTTTTACTCATGCTGAGTTCTGACTGAGCTTCTCAGCTTGGGACCCAGGTCTGAGGGGAGGTCTGTTTCGAGCTCGAGAAACTTCCTGAATTCCTGTTGGCGTTCTGGGCGGATGTAAGTCGGGAGTCGAAGCTGAGGTCCAGGCAATCTGCGTCCATCAGTTCATTGCAAATGATGGAGTCCATGTCACACTCCAGGCTGCCATTGAACACATCAAGGTCCAAATCGGCGGTAAAGCGGTCCTGGCCGGACAAACCAGAGCCAAGCTGCATAGAGACATTCTTTCTGGGAGACTTCAGGTGTGGCTGCTTGGCGTCAGGGTGACCAGCATTGTTGACAGAGGTTGACAAGCCTGCTTGCCAACCAGGTATTGAAGAGCTTTGGGCTGGACCAGCACTGGTGTGGTTCACCAATATGTGGTCTTTGCGCAGCAGCATGGCATTTCGGCGAGAGTTCTGCAGGGCGATGGCAGTGCTGGCCTGCGACATCAGTGGGTCGGACTGAGTGAGCATGACATTGCTGTGGCTGTGGGAGTCCAGGCTGAGCATATCCTGCAGGGTCTGGTGATCACTGAAGTGTGAGATACAGGAGAAGGTGGTCTGTTTGTTTTCCTGGATGGTCTGCATAGGCGACTGCCGCAGGCTTGTGATGGACGATGGGCTGAACAGTGGGTTTGGCCCATAGCTGCCAGAGGGGCTACTTGAGCAGCTAAAGGTAAACACTGAGCTCCCATGGCTGTTGACTCCATTTTCTTCCTCTCCAGGAGGAGGCTGCTGGGATGCTGTCAAGCTGATATTGTCTAAAAGGTCGTCCATCAGGTTGTCAGAGAGCCCGTCGTTGAGGTTCATGGTACCTGCCAGGTCAGAGAGCCCTGTGGGCCCTGTGGATGGAGACATGCTGCTAGGGCTGGAGTACAGCATCGGGGAGAGGGGCGAGTCATCATCAGGCACCTCATCCAGCTCCAGGTTGGCCAGGATTGGGGACAGACGACCGCTGAGTGTGCTGGCATTGGAATTGGTTCGGGATCGGAAGTCTGTCCAGGCATCCAGCTCATCGCTGCTGCGAGAGGTGGGGCTTCCCGTCCACTTGGAAAGGCTGGAGGAGCTCTCAGAGCTGCCATCTTGAGCGGCCTGCAGTGCGGCCTTCTTCTTGGTGGCACGTCCTCGAGCTCCTTTGATGTACTTACTGTTATCCATTGATACAGCCCGTCGTCTGGGAGCTTTGCCTCCTTTCCCACCTTCAGGGTTGACCATCCACCAGGAGCTTTTCCCTGTTCCCTCATTCTGGACTTTCACAAAACGACTGTGGAGAGACAGGTTGTGTCGGATAGAATTCTGCAATTAAATGGATGAAAAAAATTTAATGTAGCCTCATATTTAATTACAATATTTGTCAAAGCATTATTTCTTAAGCACTTGAGATGCTGAACAGTATAAAACCCAACTATTGGTTTATTGGATACCCAGTTAGATTCCAACCAGGGTAGCTAGTCTTCCTGGGGCTCAGTTAAAAGAAATAACAAAAATGAATGCAAACATCATCACAATTAAAACATTTGTTCAGTACACAAATCTAAATAATTATTCAAATGTTAATACCTTTTGCATTCATACAAATAATTATACCCTCAGAAATAAGCATGTTTAACTTTAAAACAGACTACTAACAAAATTAAGAAAGTCAATATGGTTTCAGATTGAATCGATCAACATCTCTGGCCATAATTGAACTGATAGAAGATGTTACTAGTGCCATGGATAATAAGAAACATACATTGGGAATATTTATTGATTTAAGAAAAGCATTTGATACAATTAATCATGAAATACTAATTGACAAATTAGAAAGGTATGGGATTAGAGGGATGGATCTGAATTCGGTTAGAAGCTACTTGACAAAGAGACGTCAATTTGTGAAGTTGGGTGAGTACCAGTCAAAACACTTGGACATTGTATGTGGTGTCCCCCAGGGGTCAGTTTTGAGTCTTAAACTTTATTTTATATATCAATGATATATGTAATGTATCTGAATTATTGAAATTTGTGTTATTTGCTGATGATACTACCATATGGGCTTCTGGTGAGAATTTCCAGCAACATTTGGACTTGAATACGCTGGAAACTGATAAGGTAAAGAAACTTTGTGATACAAACAAATCATCACTAAATTTGGATAAGACTAAATTCATGGTATTTGGTAATTATAGGCTGGACAATCAAATCCAAGTAATGGTTGGAGGTGTTAATATAGAAAGAGTTTATGAAATGAAATTTCTAGGTGTTATTATTGATGACAAAATTTGCTGGAAACCCCATATTAAATATATACAAAACAAAATGGCTAAAAGCATTTCCATACTGGCGAGAGTGAAACATATTCTGGATTGGAAGTCACTTCGCATTCTTTATTGTTCTTTACTGTATTTAGATTATTATGTTGAGAGTTGGGGAAATATATATAAAGGTTCACTGCGGTCATTATTTCTACTTCAGAAAAGGGCCATAAGAATTGTCCATAAGCTTGGATACCGGGATCATACCAGTGCATTATTCATACAGTTTGAATTGTTAAAATTCTTTGATCTAGTGGAATACAAATCAGCTGTGTTTATGTATAAAGTTAGAAACAATCAGTTGCCAGGTGGAATTCAAAAACTGTTTAATGCGAGATGGAGGATACAATAAAAGTTTAAATATATACATACATACACACACACACACACTCACATATATATATATATATAAAAAGAGGCTGTATTTCAAGGTATAGGAAAGATGAGGCATAAGTGCAGATTATATAGGAATATTAGAGGTGTGGTGTATAATAATAAAATTCATGTATAGACTTTGCATTAATCTTGTGGATTTGAGCTGACATAACTATACCATGGTCTAAGAAAGGGGGTAGAACTAGATAAGTGTGTACTTCTTTCTACTCCCTTTCAAGCATGTAATGGTGGTAGTGTCTGTAATGTACTTTATGAATGAGATATGAGTGAATTGTGTACTATTTTGTCCTTATATTGTTACTAGTTCTTTTTCTTGCATTGTATATGCACTATTTTTTGTTTTGTTTTTCTTTTTTTCCTTTCTTTTTTCACAATTTTATATCTGTAATGCTATTTTATCTTTACATGCTTGAAAATAAATAAACATTGTTGATTTTATTGTCTATATTGAATTGAAAAAATATTGCTTCAATAATTTTACAGACATATATATTATTTATTTCCTTAATTACTTATGGAAGCTGATTCCATGCAGATGAACCTCCATAAGGAACATTCCACTGGTTTCCATACGTGTGACATACCTGTGGGAAAACCCTGTACTATGGATTTTACACAGTCACAAGGAAAACTACTCAACCTGTACAGCAGAAGTAGCTGTATAAACTCTTCTGTGATACTGGAGGAGCTTTATTAGGCTAAGTCTTGGATGTCATCATCCAAACTACCAGACAGTAAGGGTCTAATAAAAAGATACATCTGATTGCATGATGGAAAAGGTAGAAACTAGAATGTTTTGGAAAATGTCCTACAGAATAAAAGTCAGAATATCTTGGTTTCCTTTTTAGCTATTTTGACCATTAAAGCCCCCCAAATTTATTCAAGTGCAATAGTAAATTGCAGGAGAATCCCCTTTATGGATAAAATCTGGATCTTGCTTTCATGATGTTGGCTATTATGAGTTTAACATTTTTCATAAGGTGCTTTATTCTTTAACACAGTCCTGCTGCCATTAGGAGTGTGTCCACATGCATTATCTGGGTTTATACCGAGAATCCTGAGTCGATCATTTAATTAGAAAAATCTCAGACTGCTTGATGAAGAGCCCCAAAAAGATCGAGAGGGTGCTCCAAATGTCACAGCAGTGCAGGTGTTAATAATACGTTCATAGGGAGCAACTCTGTGTTCGTTTGGTTTAGATTTCCTTCCTTTTACCTTTGCCAGCACCTGTGACGAGGCAGTCGATAATACACAATTAAATGTACCAAAGAATGGGAGAGCATTCATATGAAAGCCCAGCGTAGAGGACATGGGTGTTTCTCCAGCGGTTCATAAATAAGCCTCAAAGGATTTTGCTCTGGAAGTCTCCCGAGTAACTTTCAGAAAATCTACACTAATAACCATAAAATATCACCCAAACTGCAGCTACAAGGAAACAGAGTTTAACACCGCTGAAGAAACATCTCTACATCCAGTGAACTATTTCCACAAATGCCAGTGCTACAGTGACTTAGGGCATTTACAGAGGTCAGCGTAAGGTCATGGTTTCACCATTTTGTTGCCGTCGTTCTAGATTTGGAATTTAAAAACTACAGCACAAAAGACCCATCCATGAGTGTTTTTGGCTCCTTATAGTCAACCTAACACCAACATTCTTTTTTCCACCCTCTAAACATCAGACACCAATTTGTTTTGGCAGAGAAAATGGGTTAAAACAAGGCCAATTAGAAGCAGTGAGTCGATTAATCGACTACTTGTTTGACAGAAAAACAAACACCAACTATCTTTTAATAGCTGTTTGATGGTTAAAGTCACTTAACCATCAAAAACACAATAAGAATCCCTATTTATAGCTTTTCACTGGTGAATCTCATCTGCTTTTCATTTTACATCATTGCAACATGGATAGCTTTGAGTTGCGGACTGCACCTCCAATTTTTACACCTGCATCAAAGCCACCTCACTGCATGAAGCTCAATAGAATTAAAGAGATTATGCAAAAATTATGGTGCTCACCATGACTAAAAGAAAACTGTGGCAGAAATAGTAAGTTTCATACGTTTTTTTAACTATTTAAAATGGATCTGTCACAATGTCAGATCCTGTGAATTGGTTTTCATCCCTGTATCTTTAGCAGGATTTGAGTACTGACAAATTCTGACCAGTCATGTTTATAGGTTTATTACTCAAGAACCGCCTTAGACCATCAACAAGCACAGTATCTATTTTCACATTTGTCAGCAGGACCTGAACAACACTGGTGTATAAACACAAAAAGCAAGCCAAATATTGCAACATGTTAATCATCCCATGACCTACAACAAGTGGACACGATAACAGCAACACCTGTCTTATTCAATCTAATGCAATCCAGCGCACGCTGCAATAAGCAAATAAACCTTTGTGATACTTCATTGTTTGTCGACTGTCAAGGAGGCTTTGATTCAACTCTGTGGTCATTTGTTGGACCATAAAATTGTAGTGTTGCTCCACTGTATGACAGCAGCTGGATATGATAACAGTATGTAACAGTTCAGTACATACAGTATAAAACCTCAAAAATGACCACAGAATTCAATACAGTCTGACGCCACAAAAAGTGAACGTTAGGCTTCATAAAGGCTGGTTTTTTATTACAGAGCTATATGGGTGTTGCTTTTATTGTCCTCCTGTATACAGCTAGTAAAGGCTACAGGACCTTACTGTGCTTGAAGATGAACTGAGGATGTTTAAGGAGGATTCTGTATCATGAGCTGCTGGACTGTATCTGTTAAGCCTTACAAGAAAGTTACACTTTCTGAATGCCCACACAAGTAAGTACAGTATGAGCCATAATGTTTTAAAGATAAATCAGAAAGAGCACACTCCTGCCTTCCCCTCCCCCATGCAGTCACAGCAGTGCTGCAGCACCCTTTGAGCAAAGCCTCGTTCCGAGCGGGTACTGGAGCAATGCCAGTTTAGCCAGAGCCAGATCCAAAGAGAAACACTGAGCTTCTCTCACACTGCTACACATTGACCTACATAATTTATAGTCAGCTGACTGATTCTTGTGCCAAGGCCACATGAAAAGACAGTGTGCCACACAGCACGACCAAGCTGCTCACTGATCATCCACAGAGGAAGCTGGATATTTACAGCAGGTGGGATGCACAACAACTAAAAGGAAATTTAAAAATGTATCATCACACTTCAGCTACAGACAAAAAACATCGGCGAATCAGTTCAGATCGAGACGTGTGACAGGTCTAGATTTACAACCCTGTAGTCCATCTGAGGAATGACCAACCTCAAGCTGATAGCTGAATGTCACACAGCTACAAAGCATCTCCTAGGAACTGCTGAAGTCAGCACTTCTGAAACCCTAACATTAACTCTTTCTTCTGCAAGCCAAAATCTGTCTAAATGCATCTGGTGGAAAATGAACATCCAAGTATGAATGAAAAGTGACAATCACTAATCTGTACAATTACCTAAAAACATGATTATGTGCAGATTAATCAGTTATTAGCACCAATTTGTTTCTCAGCACTCCGCTCATATTTAATAAGCTAATTCCCATCATGTCAAAGAGCGTTTAAAACGTACAATCTTCACAGTTTGTGTAATTTCTTCATGTAGAAACTCTCCGGAATCAGCCTGCATCCCGCATCTACAGTTGTGCCGGGTTACAAACCTATTTCCAGTTTTTCTACCCCCATGCTTAAATCCTGCAGAGCTCAAAGCTACCATCAGACTTGACTCCATGACAGATGAATTGGTTTTCCAGAGAGAACTAATCCTTAAAATCCAACAGAAGGGCCCTGCTGAAGCTTGTAAGAAGCCCCTGTGCTGCAGTGTGAGCAGTTTTTCTGAAAGTGAAATTAACTTTGCATTGCCTATTTCAAGTCTCCACTTTCATATCTGCTGCCTTGTGTTTAGAGTGTGCTGATATTTTAGGTGCAGAACTAACTGTGTGTGTAATTTGATGCACACTCTATTACAAGTGTGGCCTTATATTTTGACAGCAACTTGGGACACAAGTAATTTAATACCGTGTGCTTATCAGGCAGCCACATATTTCCCAATTCCCTGTTGACAATTTACACCGACACCCAAATATTCCTTAGAATAAAGCTAAAAATAATCACCTAAAATAATCCCACTATAAACGGGGTGTGTGCAAACAGCACGGCCTCTGTTTGAGCTCTCCTCCTCCGTGTATTACCACTAGCTGGGTGCATTGGGTATTTATTTACATGACCACGGTATGGTTTTTGTTATGGCAACCGTGCCAGCATGTCACCACTCACCTTCCAGCCTGCGGAGCTATTGCTGTCGCCTTTGTCCTTGAAATACGGCACAGACCTCACCATCCAGTCATAGATTTGGGACAAGGTCAGTCTTTTCTCGGGGGAGCTCTCTATGGCTTGGGTAATGAGGTCAGCATAGGAGTAGTTGCCCCAGGCGTTCCTGCGAGCGGAGGACTTCCTCAGCTGCTGGGAGGCAGAGCCGCCCAGAGCCGCGGCGGGGGTTTGCGCGGAGGAAGGCGAGCCGTCGGCGCCCTCCTCTTTGCAAGGGCCGAGCTGGACCTCCACAGGCTGCGAGATAGAGCTGTTGCTGCTCGGTTCCCGGGGTCTGATGGCACCACCGCTGGATGCCTCAGCAGCGCCGCTCCCAGCGTTGCCACCTTCATCATCCTCTTCTTCGGGGATTACGTCAGTGTCATTTGTCCCAGGCTTGCCCGCACCACACTCCGGACGGGGCAGGGGCCAAGTGCAAGACCGTGGCCGTTTCTGGGGCTCGAAATCCGGATCAATCTCAACGTTTAAAGGAGGCTCGTTGCCGTTGTGCTGCGCCTCAGCCATGTTAATCGCGATATCTCGGCACAAAGGGTAATAAAATCACTCAGGGCGCATTCCATCAATGTTGTGTGCAGGCTTCGTGAAGTTTATTTACTATGCACGATATGCAAATGTCCAGCCTACAGCCCAGTCCCAGCACGTGTCTTTCTATAGGTCCTCCAGCGAGGCGTCTATCCACAGCGCCGAGAGCCGATCGGTCTGACCAGCATTAACAAAACATTGCCCTTTCTCGTGCACAGTCCACACCCATACATACATACATACATTGCAGTTTCTCGAAATGTGAGTTAAACATAGGAAGAACCAGCAGTCTTAAAGGGATCCACACGGCGTTCCTTTACAAGCGCCCGCGTCCTGCACCACGACCCCGCGACGTGCATGCCAAAGCAAAATGAGAATTACTGCATCTAATGCCACCGCATCAGCTTAATCGTTCCGTACACAGCTGCCATCTTGACCATTTCCTTTCTCAAGTTCTTTATCATCCGCGCAGAGAGCCACCAGTCGCTTGAGCAGCGCGTTGCCGTCCCGATACCATCAAGGCGGAGATTGGTTTCTCGAGGCCCTGCAGCTGTTTTTTAAACAGCAACCACAGAAATGTGGCGAGCCTCAAATCCGCCCTCTCAAGAGCTCAAAAAATAATGACGCGTCCTGGCTGTACATCTCTGACATCTTGAACAGGTAAGCACGGAATCCTCCGTGCGGCGCGCACCCTGCAAAGACACTTCATTCAATCTCCTGCTGCTGTGGTTGGCGCAAAGCTCCAACTCCAAGAAGGAAAAAACACGATCCAGCCCCCTGGACTGCGCTGAAATTAAAGTGACAGTGTGGACAGTGACATCACTTTCTCCAGTATTTGCACCTTTGATGAACAGAGAGCTACTACTGCTCCAACATAATCCTCCATCTGTGGTTTTTGGGTCTAAATGTTAAAATCGGTGAAGTAAAATAATACTATGAATATTTACCTGTATTTTTTGGAAATCTGGAGTAATTAAGGAAAACTAACTCCTTATTGTCACAATTTATTTGCTGTCCTAAAAGTGGTAAAAACGTGCCATCATCAAGGCTAAAATACTCATATTTGCCTTTAAAATACCCACTAAAATTGTAGAATGTATACTCCAACCAAATCTAAACCCCCAAATTCAGACAGAAATACCAAGAACAGGACCTCAGTAATAATTTAGTATAAACAATGAGCCTACATAGATTAACCTATGAAATATATATGGTTTAATACAAAACAAAATGTTGATTGGCTGGCCACAAATAGTAGCTGCTATACTCCAGTTTAAAACCTCAAATATTGAAAGTTCTTACCTGAAATCACACTGTTGTTCCTACACTTGGGTCGTGTCCTCATTACTGTGTTGGGAGTTTTAATGATGCAGAGAGGAGTTTACAGCACACAGTAATACAGGGCAAAAGGGGCAGCGGTAGCCAGAGACCAGCAGGATTAAACCTGCATGGCACAGACCGGTCCCACCCTCATCAACACCACTGTGGTGCCCTGCAGCAAGGCGCTTAATCCTAAATCCGTGGTAGTTCTGGCCCAGCATGAATGTGTAATTGTGTGAAAGCGACCTGCAACAGAGAGGTGGCCTCTCGGAGAACCTACCCGGGGGGAAATAAAGGTTAAAAATTAATTGAAAACACATCACAACATGGTGGATTTCTAGAGCTAATTATGCTGATTCTTTGGACTAAAGCACACTATATAATCCTGTGCATGACAGTGAACACATATGATCCATCGTGATATAGACTAACAGTCAAACGTTTTGGCACACTTTCACTGCAAAGTGAATGAGAAAGTGTGTCCACATTTTTGACTGGTATACTGTGCAGCAGCAGAGACTTCAGTTTTCGATTAATAAACCTGTCAAAATTTCTAAAAACATGTTTTCACTTGAGTGTAGATGAGCAAAACTAGCAGTTTTACCCTTCCATAATTAAATCTACAACACAATAAACTGAAAAAAGGAGTCCTGAAGCCACCGTGTCAATATTAGAAGAAGAAAAAGCTTTATTTTATTGTCATTGTGACACGTACAACGAAATTTTGTTTGGAGCCATCATGGGCATCTTAGGAGGTTCAGTGTCTTTCCCAAGGACACTTCAACATGTGGACTGCAGGCACCGAGATTCAAACCTTCAATCTTCTGGTTGGGAGACGACTGCTCTACCCACCGCACCACTGTCGCCCCACAGGTTAGAAAACAACATCTTTATTAATGTTATATTAATTTAAACCACACTGATCGACCCTAAGTGTGAGTACCAGCTACCATCACACCAGAATCCTATGAGTCTAAGGATAAAGGATGTTCAATTCTGCACAGGTTTAAACACCTTAGAGACAAAGTTGTGATTCTGGGCTACAGTAACACAACTGACCTCACCAGAGTAGAAATGAACTTTATATTGTTTCTGTTGTTTTAACCTTAAATTTGATCACAAATTATGTAGTTGTTTGCCTCACTGACACAGTAGGGCATTTTGTTGCGAGCATCAATACTGCACATTAAAAACCATTGGATTACTGCTTCACAGTTAAACCATCCAGTTTGCCTCCATTATAAAGCAGTACTCACTTTCATGATGCCAGTCAAGTTCCTGAATTTTATGCCTCTAATTCCACCAAACAGAATACACCAACTGTCTGTGCTGACACTACTTTGTTTGTGCAGGAGATACTTTACATAACTGTCGAGTTTTTTTTCTCACTTTCACTTCCCACGCAATTGTGCATCTTTGTATCTGTGAGGCAGTGCGTATTACTGTTTTAAATGATAAAGAGATTAATGCAAATTCATGTAGACACTTAAGCATCAACCATCTCCAACACTCACTAAAGAAAGCAGATAAAATATACGTACTTACCCTGGAACAACAGCTCTGTGTCTGGAAGTAATATGAACTGCAACGTTTTACACCTTTTCTTCAAGCAAATGAAAATACTGATGAGCGGAGTCAAATGTTATTGTTCAGTCAATCTGTGAGACGTGCTGAGACAAACGTTTCACAAGCACCATCACACGCAGTAAATCATCAGAAATAAACAAACAGCTTCAAGCCAGTCTGCTGCCACTGTGCTCAGGTTTATGGGAAAATATATAGAACTCGTTGAATTCTCAAAAGAGACGAGACAAAATGCCCCTTAAATCTCCATAAGTCTGTCATTGCTCCATTTCTAAAAGTTATCCAGCTTCTTTCCAGACATTTTAACAGTGAATAAAGTTGGACCACTATATAACAGAGGTAAAAGCAATATAGCACTCTAAAGTTCACTTTAAAATGATCTGTAAAGTGCAATGTTGCAAAAAAAGTGATAAAAGGCTTTAAGATATCAATAAATATTCTCTGTACAATGACATACTGTTAAGTAATTGCGCTGGGTTTGTGCTGGATGAGTAGGAGTAGTGTTCAGTTTTTGGCAGAGAGGAGCACAGAGTATGGAGCATGGAGGTTGTGTGGTTGACTTTTCCACAGTATTAAACCTGTGACTTTGTGCTTCTGTCCCCTTCCACCCAATATTCTTCTGTCTGCATCTCTGTGAGTCGAGACACTGTCCTCTGGAAGGCAAACCTTTCCTCTTCTCCACTGAAGATGGATAGAGTGCTGGCTTCTTCCTGTTAGACAATATAATACTGAATTAAAATTATGTTGTTTTAGTGGAAGGCTCCAGGTCTGAGCCCGGGGCCTTTCTGTGTGGAGTGTGCATGTTCTCCATGTGTCTGCGCAGGTTCTCTCCGAGTGCTCCGGCCTCCTCCCACAATCCAAAGACATGCAGCTTTGGTTGACTGGAGCCTCTAAATTGCCTGTAGGAGTGAGTGTGTGTATGTGTGTGTGGTTGTTTGTCTATGTGTCAGCCCTGTGATGGACTGGTGACCTGTCCAGGGTGCCACTCGCCCAATGTCAGGTGGGATTGGCTTCAATCCCCTGTGACCCTATTCAGGAATAAGTGGCATAGATAATAGATGGATAGTGGAACTTGGGATGCTAAGGGCACTGCTTTACATTTTGGAACACGTCTAATTTTTTAAACAACTAACTAACTGACTGACATTAAAATTTAAAACAATGTGACCCATGCAATGATATGTCACTATGTGTACTCTAAAGTCAATCCAAATCTAGACAGAGTTTAAAATTTACTGGTTATTTTCTACTATGGAACTAATACATTTGGAGGACTGTGCATTCTTGACAAAGATATGCAGTTACTTGATTTAAATGAAATTAAGACTCAGTACAAGACTGAGTGCTGGTTAAGATGACCTACCTTCAGTTGTGTCATCTAGTGTGATAATCTACATACACACCCAACATGAAAAACTGGTTTAGCTGTGAAAACAGAGTCACAAACTGCTTACTCTTTTCAGCCCCAGATCATCCATCAGAATGTGGCTCTCGTCATGACATTGATCACCGTTGTGCACAAAAATATCCTCCAGAGGGTGTTCTGCAAGGATCACCACCCGCACCTGAAACAACATGGAATAATTACAAAACTCCCAAACAAACAGCTAACATGTGGTATTTAACTATAGGCCGAGTGTATATACAAGAGTCGTACCTTGTGCTCATAGAGTGCATCTACGAGTGTGATGAGCCGCCTGGCTTGAGTCTTCTTGTTCAGCGTGAGCAGAGGAATGTGTCGAATAAAGACTGTGTCAAACAGCCTGGACATCTCCAGGTAGTCACTGGCACCTAAAGGCTGAAACATTTGCATTCAAACACTGGGCAACATAACATTAAGGCTGCGTTTGTTACAGCTCAGAAAGCAGGATTTATGGTCTCAGATCATTTCTGGGTTATGTTGCTGTACATTTTAATCAAACCACACTTTTCTGTTTACTAGAATTATGTGGCTTTATTATTGTGTCTTTAATCGTCCATTTATGAAGGACTGCATCAGCCCCTATAGAGCCACATGTGAGTCAATCATCTAACCATGTAGTGTAATCAAGAAGTGTTCAAATCTGCATTTTAGAGGCAAATATTGTACTTTTTACTCCACTCCATTTATTTTTATTACTTTTACTCAAGTGCCATTTGTAACAGAGTATATTTATACTGTGGTATTCCTACTTTTACTTACATAAAGGATCTTAGTACTTCTTCCATCAATGGGTATTTAAATGTATTTCACAAAATATGAAGGTCTGAGAGACTTACTCTGTCACAGAGCTCCTCAAACGTACAGTCTACAATGGTCCCACATGCTTTGTTTAGACGGACTTTCCTGTTGTGAACGTTCAGTACTCTTGGTCGTGTTACTGTAGAGGAAAAAAACTTTTTTTTTTTATATGAACAGTTACAATTTCTGTGATAATACAACAGTTAAAATTGATAAAATCCCATATCAGCTGTAGAATCAGGCCAAATGTTATCTGACCGCCCACTTACTGTCATTCTGCTTCAGAGCCAGCTCATCAAACATCTTGTCTAAAGTCACTTCTACATCAGGCTCACTGGAGCTGCAGTCAACAGACCGAGGCAACTCAGAAACACAAAACACACACACACACAACAGATCTAAATCTGGGCCTGCAATGATGGGCCGTTTCATTTTATATACTGCTTACAGAAAATAGAGTTTTCCAGCAGAGGGTCTGTTCCTTTTGCGGTAATCTATCCCAGAATCCAGACGGAGAGTTTGGCAATGTTTCTGAATGGGAGAGAGACACGATTAATAACAGCTGCCTTTCAAATGTAAAGAAGATATTTTAACAAAGAAAAGTTATTATAGTTACGTACCTGCAGCACAGCAATAAAAGGCACAAAGTTGACTCTCTGCAGCCCGTTTTTATACAAGTCTGGGGGTAAAGAGCAAAGAAGATGGTCTTGCTTTATTTTACTTTTTGTTGGTCTGTTAAATCTGTAACAGTACAGGCTTTAAACTTTTAACATCTTTAACTTCTGCCATATTTTGCAGTGATGCTGGTGATCGATAACAGATTGAATTGATGTTTTGTCAGCTACAATGAAAGTGAGAATTACACATTTTGATGTTTGACATGCATCATCATCTGTGACATTTATGGAAACATAATGTAGAAGTTACGTTTTAAATCATTTTAATCATAGAGAATTAATTGATCCCAACTGCACTGTGTTGACATTTCCTTTTAATCTAGATGCAAATTTAACATTTTTACAAAAGCAGTGTGCTCTTAACAGGATACATTTGACATTTTATATAAAACAAAGTTGTATATATTTGATATGCTGATACACACGTGTTCAGACACTTGCGACGCACCTTCAGGGGGACGATTAGAAGTGGCCACAACAACAACACCATTCAGAAACAGATTCTCAAAAAGCTGCTTGAGGATCATGGCATCAGCGATATCAGTGACCTGAAATGGGAAGTTACAAATACATCAACTTTGAGCAAAGCACAAAAAAGCTCACAGACTCCTTTATATGACTCTACTACAAAAAAAAAAAAGTAGACTCCATCCAGTCGTGAAAGATCATGACCTGAAACTCGTCAAAGCACAGAACACAAGCCTCTTCACTGATCTCCTCAGCAACTGGAGCAATGGGGTCATAGGATTTGGCCACTTTCCCTGCTTTCCTTTTGGGCATACTCTGTTTCAGACGATGGATCCCTTAAAAAACAAACAAACAAAAAACTTGTAAAAATACCAGAAAAGACGGGCTAAAAGTAAAATGAACTGGAAAACACAAACTGTCACATTTAATCTTTAGTTTGGAGTGTTACTGTTCACAGTGAATAAGCAGAAGTGACGTCATTAATTCATATTTTCAGTTCAATAGAGTACATTTTCTCATCTTCCCTTTATAGTTATTCATCACAAAAATATGCTTGAGAACAGTTTCACTAAACCCATCCAAAGTTCTTTGTCTGCAGAATGCATACAAACATAACAAAACTGGAAAGTGGTGACTAAACAGGAAATATATGCTCAGCTCAACAACCACAGTGTTGCAGGCTCAACAAACTTTGCATATAGCATCTTGTTAAGTGTTAAAACAGCTTTATTGAAACAGGACCCTTGTATCAAACATTAACATGCAAATCAGTAATTCACACACTATGACCATAAAATGTTTAATTCACCCAGGAAAAAAGGATTCAGTCCATTTTAAGTACAACTTATTTTCAAATACCCCAGAATGTTGATGCGCAGTCATTTGGAACATTTAGCTTCAAGGATGAGCAAAATGCAAAGCATCCTGCCCTGTGCTGTTCATTCAGTGGGTTGTCTGTAAGGACTGATGGGTGAATGAATAAATATGACAGGGCAGTATAAGAGAGTATCGCCCTCTGGTGGCAGCAACTCTGCAACAAAGAATTGGTTTGAAATCCACATAAAAACTGTTACTGAAATAGCAAGGTTAGATGAGGGCTGTGGCTCAGGAGGTAGCCATAATCATCATATGATAAAGATTTTTTTAAAAGATGTTTATATCTGTGTAACTGAAAATATGAATGGTACTTACAAATGGATAAAACATATATCCTGGTGTGTGTGTGTATTTTTTTTTATGTATAAAACATATTTTCTGCTAATAAAGGGGCATGCATCTTGTTTTTCCTTCCCATTCTATGAAACACCCTTTGCAACTTGGTGCACACACAACACTTTTTGGTTGCAAAGCTGTTCATGCTTTCTGAACATAAATCAATGTGTAATCATTCAGTTACAAAAAGTATTTGCCTCCAAGCGACTGTCATTGTAATTCCTTCCCTACTGCCTAACTGTGGCTTGTACTCACTTCGATGCACATCCAACATAAAGCCGTGGAAATGAACCCTCTTTTTCTTTTCAGTCTCCACGTATGAATAAAACATGTCCATGACCATAGTTTTTCCTGTGCCTGAAACAACAAAGACCAAGCGACTCAAACTAATCAAGACAAAAAAAAAATACAATATTATGAAGGAAATTAAATTTAGATGTACAGCTCTGTGTTTCTTACCAACATCGCCATAGATATAGTAGCCTTTTGGGGGTTTGGGTTTTGCGAAAAACTGAAAAACATAAGGAGAGAAAGCAGATTATGGAGTTACAAAATGACGTCAAAGACCCTGCACTTAATGCAAAGCGACATAACATCTCTGACCACCATTAGTTACTCAAACAGGTGCAGGACTTGCACCTAAGGGCAGCAACAGGAACCTAAGATTAAACACAACTATTAACTACTTTTTCTAATTCAGAAGCAAGAACAGTATTAGTTATGTTATATGATGATTTAAAAGAAATCAACATTCCACAACAACCTCTCTCCGAACTCCACTGGAGGGGTGAGGTGAGCACCATATGATTCACTAAATTGTTCCAATTATCTGCCTGTAAAATCAGAAGATCCTTCTCCTACTATAACGTTAGAGGTTTGTTTGTCTGCTGTGAAACTGGATGTAACAAAAAGTCCTGACGTGCTGACAGGCTGCAGGGCCCCTTCCTCTGGAATAACCTCCCTGCTGACAGACAGTCAGTTAAGGAAGAGAGGTGGTCATTCCGCCCACGCCCTGCCACCCACACCCCTCGGGGGCGAAACTGATGAAAGCATCAGTATTCATGCAGTATTTGGCTGTACCTTGGAGAAGATGGATGTCGTTGTGTTGCTGTATCCTCTCAGTGTTTTGTGCAGCTGGTCCAGTTTCTGCAGCACCAATTTCTGATGTTCATCCTCCCGCAGTGTCCCGTCTCTGATCAGCCCGTTGTAGTGATCCAGAGGGCCGCTGAACTCTACGGTGCTGACACCGCTCTCCTCCACCGCCTGCTGGGCTTTCACGGAGTACCCTTAGGAGTTATAACAACACAGTAACTGCACTTCAGCTTCCCTGTTTACCCCTCCAAGGTTCATAAACTGGAGCTCACTGCTGCGGAAAGTTACGAAAATGTCAAAGATTACGAAGTGACAACTAGTCTGACAGAGCAGGACAAAAACAGGGAAACCAAGTAAGTGTATGATGCAGGTCATATAATTACATTAACACCGGGTTTGTCGTGAGAGAGTGTGGACTAGTTATTAAAGACTAATTTAAAGTAGAGCTATGTCGACTGGTAGGCAGTAATTATGTGTAAAGCAGCGGACAAACTCTTTTAGGGCTTTAATTAACCGCCACAGCGACTCAAACCAAAAACTCGTCTCACCTCGTCTGCAGAGTTCCGTTAGAAAATTTAGCAGCTTTAGTTGCTTTGTCAAAAGAGACCTACAGCCCAGTGAAGCTGAGGGTGACATCCATAATGACAGCGGTATGCTCGCCGCCATCTTGGTTTCAAATTTCGCCGGCGTAACTTTATTAACAAGTACACGATACACAAAAGCGTTTCTCATTCATTCTCAGCCAGGAGGGGGCGACATTTCTCTCAGTTCTGCATCTTGTATTTTATGTTTTTTTTTTCCTCTTCTAAAACAATCATAAATATTATATCATATTATAATATCCGTGTTATAATAGTATTATAAAAAGTATTGTGGTAATACATATAGGTTTAAATTGGGATAAATACAAGGAAAAATCAAAACATATCCAAGCTGTTTTGTTGAATCATTGTCAATAAAATGCAAAGCGGGTGCAGTGTGAGTATTAGGATGAACTGGGACTAACAATTGCTTTTTATTGTCAATTTTTTAAATCTCTTTTTGATGATTTAACAATTGATAAGGTTCTTTATTGTCATACATAAATACAAAACATACAACTAAATTTAGGTGCACTCAACAACTGGACTCTGTTTTTTATATAGATATATATATATAAAAATGTCCAACTCATTAAGAAAAGTGAAAATGTATAATTTGCCACAGCTCAAGATTATTGTGTTTAGATGTTTTGTTTTGTTCAACTAACAGTCCAAAAGCCAAATGTGTTCAGTTTACTAAAAGGTCTGACAAAGAAAAGTAATAACTCATATTAGAGCAGCTATAACCATCAAAATATTTTGCTTGAAAACATGACTAAAATAATGATTTTACTATTAGTTGCTGATTATTGCAACTTAATATAGATTTTTAAAGACACAAAATGTGAGCATACAACATAGAGTAACACTTCAGTGGTAAGCTGAAAGAATAACATTCATATATCCATAGTTGCCAGTGAATCTTTTTATAAATGAGGGCAGAAACTCCTCAGTCTAATTATACCTCCACAGCACTGAGCTGGAGTGGCAGGCAACCGTCAGGGTGTTACAGGGCTTACAGGCTTGTTGCCATGACAACAGAGGAGCCCTTCTCCCTCTCTTTCATGCACACACACACACTCTGTCACTCGCTCTCTGTCTGTCTGTCTCTGTTGTACACAGGCACTCACACATATACAGTATTACGGTGGAATCCGCCTTGCTTTGAGATCTGTGCTCTACTACAGGAAATACAGCACGGAGCGTAGGGATACTCCACGTCTGGTTTGGATGGTGAGTGCCTGCTGACTGGTTATTGTTTGTTTACATGCTGTATTCTTAAATCAGATATATAAATTACAGCTTCCTGATCCCGGTTAGCTTTGCTGATGCAGCTTCTGCAACATAGAAGGTGGCATGTTTCTTTTATTGTAACTGCTTCTTCTTTTTTAAAGATTAGGGTGGAAGCTGTCATCATAATGGTAATTCATAGTTGGGTAGCCATGGTGAAGTCAATTTCCCCCTCCCTCTGCCACTGCTGAATGCATTAGTCTAATGAGATGTCTGCAGCCTGTGTGCTGAGCAGCAGCAGCAGCAGCAGCACTGTGTTGACCACAGGAAAAAGCCACAGTGAGAGCAAGATGATTTTCCCTGCATTGTGAGGGATCCTGCTTCACAGTCACCTTTAGGCTCCTGGGATTTTAGACAAAAGAGCTTGGCTCTTGGGCATTCACTATAGAGGACAGCAGGTAATAGACACCCCCTCACTCTCTCTCCCAGGTTTATTGATGTGTTGTCAGTGCAGGATGGAGGTACGGTTTCCTCCACAGCTCTTGCATGCCTGTCTTTTGTGTTGCTTGACTATTATGGTGCTCTTTTAAATGGTGCTCCTCTCACCCCACTGCTCATTTGAGTATTCTTCTGTCTGTTTTTGGATGTTACTATTGTACACCTTTGCTGAGCCATTATGCGTCCTCTGCTTTAAATGGATGCTAATGCTGCTCTCTGATACGTAGCTGCTGAGGAGGAGGATTAATGTGCGAGTGAAGTGCATGTTTTTATGCATTTCTCTTGCTTGAGCTCAACGGTTGTTTCCTTTGTCTCCAGCTACAAATGAGTGTACCTGCAACAGCGGCACAGAAATCAGACAGCAACAACAGTGAAATGCAATCAGCTGCAGTAGCTCCCTCCTTCATCCCCAGCCAGTCAGGGAAGATACCGGGCAGGAAGAGAGGGAGACCTCCACTCCGCAATGTCGCCAAGATGGATTTTCCTAATCGTTACCCAGATTCGCTCCCTCCGCTCAAAGTGCCAAAGAAGAGAGGGAGAAAGCCGGGCTTCAAGGTCAGCCAGATGGGGTGTGTGGTGTGTGGATGCAGTGTGTTTAAAAATGCATGTATACACAGAAAGATACAGACACGCAGGCTCCGTGGCTTTGTAGGACCCCAGTGTAACAGATAAAGATCTGTGAGGCTTGCTCTGCTGTATTACTTCTCATTTTGATCTAGGGAAATATTTAAAGAGGAAATCATTAATGTCCTAAATCATAAATGTGTCTGTTTTCTATTCATAAATACACAAAACTCATCATCGGTAGCACAAGAACTACAGCTTTAATAACATCCCCCTCACTACCTCATTTAGTAAATAAGTGATATTCCTGAAATAAACACATGAATGCAAAACATCTTTTTTCCTGCAGCTCAAACCCAGGATGGTGATGACACCGCTGGCTATCTCTCCACCCAGCAGCACCCCTGAGCCTGATATGAGCTCCATTCCTCAGGATGCTGCCACTATCCCTCACTCTGCCACACCCCAGGTGCTCACAGGTAAGGACACAAAACACTCTGGACCCATGTAGGAAACACTGCTGGCCTTTTTTTCAATCCAGATCTGATCTGTTTACAAATGTTAAATTATCAAGTAGTGCAGGACAAAGGATAAGTGACCTATAATTTCTTCCGTTATTCTAAAGTTTATCCCTATCTGTATATTTTTTCTGTTTCAGTCTGCATCTACATCAACAAGCAGGCCAACACGGGTCCCAACCTGGACAGAAAGAAGATCCAGCAGCTCCCTGATCACTTCGGACCCGACAGGCCCTCCGTGGTGCTGCAGCAGGCCGTCCAAGGCTGCATCGACAGTGCCTTCCAACAGAAAACAGTGTTCACTCTCCTCACACAAGGCTACGGGGGAGAAAAAATATCAGGTGTTGTACAAAGACCCCCCTCAGGTGTTGCTTTCTGTTTGTTTAATACCCTTAAATAAATTCAAATTTCTTACTTTACCTGAGGTGGAACTGAGAAAATGTGATTACAATAGATTGAATGTGACCTTATTTGTGAGAAACTGAAAACTGTGAAGTTGTGTCAAGTGGTCCCCTGTTTTGCTCTTCCAGCCACATTTGATGGGAAGCAGCATCTTCTGAGCCTCCCTGTTGTGAACAGCATCGACTATGTGCTTCGTTTTCTGAAGAAGCTGTGCCGCAGCTTGCAATGTGAAAACCTCTTCAGTGATCAGCCCATTACCCAGCACAGTAGTGGCTCCTACCAGTCAGATGGCATGTCTAAACTTTTTAGAATAAATCTCTTTAGTAGAAGATATTGTGCTGATATAAATACACTTTTTTTTTTTAGCTAAATCTGACTTTTGTCTTTAGCTGAAACAACTATGGGCGACGACTACCACTTAGACCAGTCAGATGGAAAACGCTACTCCGTGGACCCCGGCGATTCTGCTTTCAGTTCCATAAGCTCATCCTACTCACCAAAGTCCTCCTACGGGTTTCGATCGTCACAGCAGTTCTCCAACAGCTCAGCCTCAATGAGCATGTGCAGGCAGTCGTCCACCAGCCCTAACACATTCCCAGAGAGCAACAGGACAGGTGAGAGGTCCTGGTGAGACAAAACCGGTACCGCTGTGACATTTATTTTCATGAGGTACTCAGGTAAAGCTTATTTGTTTCCTTTGCCCCTCCAGGGGGTTATAACAATGCATCTCCGGAGTCCCAGGAGTCCAAGGCTCCCCCCAATAAGGACCCATCCACCTGGTCTGTGGAAGATGTCATCTGGTTCATCAGGGATGCAGACCCCCAGGCTCTAGGCCCCCATGCGGACGTCTTTAGAAAACATGTAAGCTCTCTGTGTTCTTGACAAGCTCCTGGTTCAAATGTCCAGACTCAACAATCACTTTGGCCGGTCACCTACTGTAATTTGACACCCACTGCTTCTTCTTTCAGGAGATCGACGGAAACGCCTTGTTACTCCTAAAGAGCGACATGATCATGAAGTACCTCGGACTGAAGCTGGGACCAGCCCTGAAACTTTGCTACCACATCGACAAACTAAAGCAGACTAAGTTCTGAAAACCCTATACCATATCTATCTTCCACAAACCCAACAGTACATTTGACAAGGGATATGTGTGGGGACCCCAGGTCTGTGAGCCAACTGGAAGAGAGTAGGGTCCCAAAGCGTGAGGTGCAACACTTCCTTTTTACACCACAATAAAAGCTCCTTTTCACTTAGAAGTAATACTAGAACTTCAGTGTAAAAATCCTAGAAATTTTAAGTATTACAAGGCAAATATAACTGTCAGTCTTTATGAAGATGTTTAAAACCAACATTAGCATCTTACCATTAGCATGATGTCAAAAAGTAGGAGTAGAGTCAGAACGTAATGCTGACATTGTAGGGCTAACATAAATGATTGCATCTCCAACAGCACCTGCATTATAAGTAATGTCAGCCAGGTTGCAGTTTTTTAAGTATTTTTAAAGTATTTCTTTCCCATCTAACGCACTATAAAAAGTGGTTTTGTTAGTTTTTTTTACCTGAGGAAAAATATTAGGTTAAATCTACTACTTACCCCTGTAATAACTGGCCTTTTGGCCCATTGGTGGCAGTGGAAATACAGTAATCTGTGAACACAACACTGACATACAGTCATCTCTGAAGTTAATATGGCAACTATTCCAATCCAGCATTTACAGAGCAATATTATCATTCATTTAAAGTTATGGCACTGACACCTGGTAAATGTAAATGCCCACTCTCTTTTAGCTCAGTTTTTTTTTTGTCTCTATTAACTCCTGAGGAAAATATCTAGCTTTTTTAGCTATTAGCACCTAGTCATTACCTGTGCGGGTCTGCTCTTTGGTGCTGTGCAGGTGGTGTAGTGGGTTGCTACCTGCTGTGGCTGAAAATGGCGCTGTGAGAGCGATAAGAGTGACTCAGAACATTAGAGTTGCAGGCCAGACAGCTAAACAATTAGCTTAAATGCAATTTAAAAAGTTCAGGTGATAATTCTTTGCAGGTTCGTCTCCTTTCAAATTAGCATTGAAATATTGTAATTATAAAAAATATAGATTTTAAAGACTTGAGCACAGAAAGTTTGTGTGAACATTTTTAAATCTGGTTAAATAAATGGTGAAAAAAGAACAGAAGTGACGTCCCTCACTGAAGGAAGTAGGCATCCTACTCTGGACCTTACTCAGTCTACATTTGGACCAGATTTCAGACTAAAACCCTTTAGACTGTGGAATGCATCCTCAATATTACATGATAACAAAATGTAATCAGTAAAAGAAGGCCAGGGTAAGCGAACGTTTTGTTTCACAAGCCTTCGTGAGCAGCACATATATAGTATAATCATCATCTGACAAGAAATGTATAAGAGAAAACACTTTATAACTTATGATTGCTCACACTTTGTCAGATCTCACTATAGGATCTTGTTTACTTGTATTTACCAAGGTGAAAACATATCTATAACTGTACTGAAAAATGGTGCATTTAAATACCACGTTGCTTTTCGATTGATAGATTTAGAAAATCCTTTTGGTACTATTTTTCACATTACCTTGTAACAAAATTGTAATGTTCCCATTGGGTTTGTCATTCTTTTTTTATTATTGTTTTACTATTAAAAAGCAAGCAAAACATAACATAGAAAGACAGCAGCTCTCTTGTTAGTATGTATAAAGAAAAATGAGAGTATTTGTGAATGTGATATATTTATGTTTCAGTATGCAAGAATGTTACATGCCAATTATCTCCATATACTTTACATGTATATGAACATTTTAAATTCTTTTGTTTCTATTTTTTTTATGCATCAACATTGATACAAGTTTTCAAAACACATCGAGCACTTAAATGTTACACTGAGAAAACCTAAATGGCGATGTACATGGGTATATAATATAGTACTGCCTTTGTATACCACTTTGGTGTACAGTATGCATCCTTTTGTAACCAATTAACCTTTGTAAGTGAATGCTGCTGTAAAGATATTACATGTAAGCCATGACTGGTGAGATCAAGCGATGTTTTATTTTGAAAATCACAACAAATAAAGAGTTTTAGAGAAAGCTGAGTGGATCAGTAGCTACTCAATGCTGGTGCTAAAAAAATCATCTATGTATTAAACTGTTTGCTTTTGTGTTTGTGAGATGTAATGGAAATCCTATGTGTACACTGTACTGTATGTGAGTATTAAATTAAGAACTCGAGTAAGCAGAGTTTTGTGTTAGAGACTGACTTGTGATTTCGGTTGGGATGATGTGCCAGCTGTCTTTGACTTGATGAACTACAGTTATTACTAAACAAAGAACCGTGAATAGATCCAGATTTGGATTTGGGTCCTCACATCTGAGAATTATTTTGGCTGGGAGCCCCATTTGTTCTTCAATACACATGGTTTAACAAAGGTGACCTATATCTGTGGCTCCTCAATTGGTTTCCAGGGACCTTCAGAGGTCCCTGTGGGGCTCCCAGAGGTTCCCCATAAAAATAAAGAGCTGATTAGCATACTGAGAGAATATCACAGGTTTCAGCTTACTATTCTTTATGAATTTATTTGTGCACTGCATGAACATTATATAGAGTAAAATAGGCACACGTTTCAGACACAGAAGCACAAGGTTAGCTGTATTACAAGGCCCAAGTGATAGCATTTTAGTTGTCCAAACTCCCAAATAAATCAGCCCCCCAAAACAGCCACTAACAGTTGGTGCATATCTTATAGGCAGATTCTAGTGTTTGTTAAACAAAATGTCTATTTTACAGCAAAAAAATAAACAAATAAAGGATTCATAGTATTAGAGTTTGATTTCCCAGTGATATACAAGGTACTAAAGCTAAATCCATGATAATTAATTCATGGTGGGGAGGGATGAAGCCTGGGGAATAGCTTAGTAAGTATTCTTTGTGTTTAGGATCGGTCTTAAGGCCGTACACCTTAATGATGGGTAATGAAACATACAGATAAATATAATATGAAAAAGTCAAGTAAATTTAAAACAAGTCTTATTTGCACTCTCTGGAGCTGTGAGGCTGAGGTGACTTGGGCTATAAAGTCCTGAATCCTGACCATAAAGAACCTGGGACATTCATGGGTCTCTGCTGGGTTTCAAACCTTGGTTTAGTCACCCAATTCTATTTTGCTTCTTAAAGTCGCGTTTAATGACCACATGATTCACCCTCCGTTTTACAGATCTGAAACCCCCGATTAGTAAATTACTCAGTCAGTGTCGTAAAATATGGACGCACTGTTTTGTTTACAGAAACCACAACCCCCAAATGTTTATTTCCTGATGATGAAATCTCAGGCTGGCCATCCTCATCACGATGAAGGATCCGGTTATAACGTGACAGGATCCAGCTGAACCCAAACCGAGCAGCAGGGCAACAGTGAACTTACGATCAGGCTGTGATACACACGGGTGACGCCGCGCTGTTGTAGTCGCATCGACTGGCGTGGGATCGGTCCCTGCTGCGTCTCATCTGGAATAACGTGGGGAAAATCCAGACATTTCATTAGGGAGTGTTTTTGAAGGAAGCCAGCAGCGTTGAGAATAATCCCTTTCGGGCAAACGTTTCCAACGGAAGGGGGTTTTCTGTACTTTGCAGAAGCCAGAGCAGCTTTATTCCGATAGAGAATCTTCAGTTATAGGCTGTAATAAGGTAAGACGCGATTGCCTGCAGATGTACATGTCATGTGTTAGATCATGAACACACACACACACACACACACACACACAAGGATTGGTGTATGTTAATGTCATGCATTATTTTTTACATTTCCTTCTGTGTGAATGAATGGGATCGGACAGAGGGCTGGCACACTGGCACCTGCGCATCCCTTAAAATAAATCCCCCGTGTTTTGCCTGGAAACAACCAGAAAAACTGAAATAAGACAGCGAGGGCTCATTTGGCGAATTAACAAAATGTCAACATTTTGCGCAGTTAATTGGTTTTAAGCGCTAAACGTGACTCTGCCGAGGCGCCGAGGGAGCTGTCGTGTTCAAAAATAGGGCTTGTTATGAGATTTTGGCATGTTTTTCGCCCCGATGCGCATGGAAAGATGTCACTAGGATCAGGATCTAATCTGGAAATACTCTCACTGCGTCGTTTCCATCGGAATGCAGCAGCGTCTCTCTGCCCTCACAGGAGGCAGTTAGCCTTAATAGCATTAACTCGGATGTCATTGTCCAAAGCATGTAATAAAACAGCATCTGTTGGCCTCTGTTTGGGTAGAACCAGTCCTTCATACCTGTGGCCTGTGGGATATGTGGCGGATATTGCTCTAAAACGCCGCAGTTACGTGATGTCGAGCAGTTTTTTCAGCCCAACGCTCCATGAAACAATTTCGTTTTCCCGTCTTCCTGCAAAATGTTTGTCCTCAAGGTCATTCACTGAAACCTAATGCAGAGATTACACCCAAGACCAGTTCATTTAACGAGCAGTTATGCTCGTCAGGACTGGTTATAAGACCTGCAGGGGATGAACATTGAAGTCTGGGGTTAGCAGTGATTTTGGCTGCAGCACTGGCGGCAGCACACATCTCTCATGTTTGTTGGGAAAGGCCGGAGCCAATGCAGTGTTGTGGTGGGTCTGTCCAGCTTGCCGTCATGCTGCTGCTGCAGAGATGTGGACCATGTGTTGGTCTCAAGTGGGGGAAAATTGCCACAGTTGTCCCTGTTTGGACATGCAAATAATACTCTACTGTCTTATTTGATAAATTATGGATTGAGAACTGACGCATTCCTGGCCACTTTATGTCATTTGGCACATTATGAGTCAGTGATTGATGAATCTGAGACTCCTGACAGGCTGTTGTGGGGTGGTTGTTCAAGTTGTCATGATGGGACTTAGGACCTTCAGTGTGGGGATTGCCCCAAACCAGCTTAAACACTACATCACATACAGAGCACTCAGCTATAAGCTAGATTCCCCACTGATTCAGGTTACAGCAGGTCTGCTGTCCTCCTGCCTCAGGATTTACTGCAGCAGTGCCTCTCTTACAACCAAGCGTATGCAGGCTTTGTTGTCATTGTCAGGGTATAGGAAAGCGTTTGCAGTGGGAACTTGATAGCAGCAATTGAACGTTTGATGAACTGAATCTGCTCTGTCAATGTTGATCCAGGTCAGTGCTACCCAGGCCACAGACTGGCACGAACAGGCTGAGGGGACAGAAATAGAGCACGAGCACTAGGGGAATTTTTGCTGCCATCCCAAAATACACATATTTATACTCCATGTACTCATGTTTGAAGCTAGTTTTCTGTGTTGTCAGAGAGCTTCAAACTGCCATCACTCAAGCACAGATAAATGCATTATGTACATGTTCTTGCATCACAGGAATCATGGGAAAGCAGAACAGCAAGCTGACTCCTGAGGTTATGGAGGATCTGGTGAAGAACACAGAGTTTAATGAACATGAGCTGAAGCAGTGGTATAAAGGCTTCTTGAAAGACTGCCCCAGTGGCAGGCTGAATCTGGAGGAGTTCCAGCAGCTCTATGTCAAGGTTTGTGCAAATCACATTCTCTATTGTTGCCCTCAAGTCCTGGTTGGATTAGGCCTACTGAACACATTTCTCCCACATTTGCAGTTCTTCCCTTATGGCGATGCATCAAAATTTGCACAGCACGCCTTCAGAACCTTTGACAAAAACGGGGACGGGACCATCGATTTCCGAGAGTTCATCTGCGCTCTGTCCATCACATCCCGCGGCAGCTTTGAGCAAAAACTCAACTGGGCATTCAACATGTATGACCTGGATGGTGACGGCAAAATCACCAGAGTGGAGATGCTGGAGATAATCGAGGTAAGGGATTATCGATTCATTAAGCCCTTGCTCATCAGGGGACTGACTCTGTTTTTTTTATCATCAGTCTCCTGCACACCTGCAGTGCAGACACAGTTTCATAACGACAAAACTGCAGTTGCACTGAGAAACATTACACTTCAATCAAGTAAATGTGATATGGCTCAGTGATACTGGAGCGTATCGCCAATTCCTCTTTTAAATAAATGCGCTGTGTGCTTTATTTCAAAGCATCTTCATCAGTGGTTCCCAAACTTGTTTGTCTGCTGTCTCATCGGCTCTATCCGTCATATTGCAAAGACAGTATGTCTAATGAACGAGGTCCAAAGTGGGCAAACACAATAAATGATAAAGAATAGGTTATTGTTACAACCATCTGTCATTTGAACTCAGTATTTAGGTTTGGTCAAGTTTGCATTCATATTACCAGAGGTGGAAAGTAAATAAGAACATTCTACTGCTACTTCATACTTTGACTTCACTACCTTTTAGAGCCAATTACTGTACTACATTTATTTTATATCTTTAGTTACTTTTCAGAATCAGATTAATAAACCAAAACCAAACCAAAAAGGTGGAGTTAACATTAACGCCACCTTCAGCAGCTGCAACATTTAATGTGATGTATACAATAATGCATCAGTAATTATAATCCAGTAATATGACAGATGTTAATCTGAAATGTGCCATTCTGCATAATGACTACTACTACTACATATTTACTTTGATGGTAATACCTTTGGTCTTTTACATTTTTACATTGTTATTGCTCCTAGTGTTTCCATCGCTACCACATTGTGTGGCATTGTGTTTACCGTTTACCTTCACAGGGATGAATGATGTTTATTTTGATTTAAGTTATTTCAGCTGTGTACATTTGAAGTTAGAGCAATGAATAAACAGTTTATTCATTATTATTTCTTTACTCTAATTACTACTCTTATTGTAGCTAACAACTATAGCTACCTTTATCTTAAAATTTAAGCAGTTTATTACATTTCACTAACAACCATAACTTTTAACTGTTTATCTTTGAATATACAGTTTATCCTTTGCATTTGTCTAACTCTTTCAACTACAGTAGTTTTCATACGCTCGTAACAGCAAAATGTGGCGTTGATGACTTGGGTTGACAGGCAGGTTATTTTAATGGAAATTGATTACCGGCAGCAATTTGCTACAATAATTTATCTTTTTATGTGACACAAATATGTAGAATCTATTTAAATATATTATGTAAGTACACAATACGTGTTTTTTAAATTTAGTGTAATGAATCTGTTGAGGTTTCTATGTACAGTCTGGGGTACATCCAACCCTGGCTGCGACTCACTGATCTCTGTCTTTATGAACACATTAACACATGTAGGCCTCATTGAATTACAAAATAAGCAACAACCCTCAACAAATTTTTCGCTGTGACTCACCCGCAGGCGATCTACAAGATGGTGGGCACTGTGATCATGATGAAGATGAACGAGGATGGTCTGACACCACAGCAGAGGGTGGACAAGATCTTCAGCAAAATGGATAAGAACAACGACGACCAGATCTCGTTGGAGGAGTTCAAAGAGGCTGCGAAGAGCGACCCGTCCATCGTGCTCCTGTTGCAGTGTGACATGCAGAAGTGAGGCGTCCCTGCTCGCTCCTCTCCCCATCTGTAATCCACACACTCTGGACAGCAGCACATGTTTTAATGTCTCATTAGGTTCTCTGCCGTTTCCACAGGAAAAAAAAAAAAAAACAACTAATGCTTGGACTCTTTTTTCAATGGACTTGCTTCTCGTGGTGTATGCATGAGAATGTCAAATGCTGAATAATTTTGACTATTGCTATAAGATACAATTTTTATTTCAAAATATGCCAATGTATTTTGTGCACAGTAACCCTATACATTCTCATTCAACCTTAGCTTGTATATCAGTGGAGCACTGCATTAAATTATGTTCCTGCAGTATTTAGGATCCCAAGTGTTCACTGCTGCAAATACTGTACGCTTTATATAATAGTAACAAAACAATAATTCCTATGATAATTGTAACTGTCTCTACTATCCAGACTGGTTGAGCTCTTGGAGAATAGAGAGGCTCCTGTCTGTTCCAGATGTTGTCACATGATGGAATCAAGAAGAGTAGGTTCTTTGCATGCATATATTATGTGTCAGAAAAATATAATCTCTTACCTTTTGCATCTTTAGGTGGCTATAAAAGAGAAACCCTCCAAAATTCATTTAGTATTGTTGCATGGGATGTACAGTAATGTTACTCATCAGACCATTAGTTCACCTCTAGTAATGTGGGAGCATGCTTCCCTCCATTTGATACACATATGTATGACACTTCTTGAAAGATATTTGGGTTGCAGATGTGGGCTAACCGCTCAGGAAGAGCCTTCACATAAACACCGCATCATGTTTTGCTTCTGGGATGAGCAAAATTATGTTTACTGAGCGCCATTTGCTTTATGATTTTAATGTACTGCTGCTGCTTCTAGAGGAAATTATAGCTCACAAAATTACTCCTCACAGTGATCCACAATTGGCTAATTTTTCAGGCTGCTTATTCAATTAGACTTCAATCACTTTTCTCAGTACATGTTTACAGAAATGAAGAGCACTATAAAATGAGTTTCGGCTTTTGACCCTGATGCTGGGAGCTCACTCTCTGGGCCAGGGACCTTCTGAGAGGGGCTCCACTTCCAAAGCAGCAAAAAAGGGAAAAATAAAAGCCTCATATACGTTTACTGGACACACCACATTCCTAGAACCTTTTTGTAAGGAACATCTTTTTATTGAGAAGTCTCATCTCTTTTAATCTGTTCAAGCTGTTTGCAGTGATCATTAAAAAATCCAGGACCCTCAATCAAAGAGGTGCTTGATAATGGTTTTGAAAGAACGTTTCAGGGTGAGACGGCAACCCCACGACGACGTACTGTAGGTTAAAGTTACTGTGGAAATCGTCTTTCGACAGTTTTGCTTCCCCATTTCTAGGCTATGCAAGCACGGACTGAGTGTCTGCTTGTAGTCCACTTACAGTAGTGGAGGTTGCGGAAGCTTTTCACTGTTGTCTATAACATAAGTGAACCAACCCTCACATTATTAATGTCTATATTATTTATACATTTCAGTCCTGTCACCATGTCAGATTCTGTCTAGTAAATATTTATATCTGATCATCATACAAGTGACTGTATTCTTTTATACATGTGGCATGTGTTGCACCCAAACATAATTCTGTAGTGATTAAAATGAATAAACCACCAACAGGCTTTTTCAAAAGACAGCGTCTGGCAGGTGTAGTTAATGGAAAGCAGGAAATGAAGACCGGTCTTGGCTTTTCACTTTAAAACTATGTTGAATAAATGTTGCTGTGCATGAATGGAGCAGTGGATAAAAGCATGAACGAATAGTCCTGTGTGTGTGTGTGTGTGTGTGTGTGTGTGTGTGTGTGTGAAACCATGAGCACAAAACTTATAAGACTTCTACTTAAAATGCATTTTAATATTGTTTTCCATGGAACTCATTAACAGCTGCTGGATGTGAAGCAGTGAGCATTTTTGACACGTGAGGGAACTGGACAGCATTAGTGTACATGTTTTTGCTACAAAGCCCAAAAATCTGTAATAATCAACTTCAACAAACAGATTTCTTATTGTAAAAATATTAACACTGACGGGTTGAGTAAAAGCCGGGGTTCACAGATTAGGTCTCGTAAAGTCTAAATAACAAAACAGTAAACTTTGACAAACATTTTCGGGGTATTTTTAAAGATATTCTTCATGAACAATTTATATCTATCATCACCTAAAACAGTTCAAACATAATCAAGAAATAATGTGAATACTTTCCTACGTTACTTGCAACCCTGATAAAAAAAAGAACGCCAGTGATCAAATCACTCAGAACCACATTGAACACAGAATTTCCTAAAAACACATTAATGACACCAGTGCCAGACATCTCACAAACGAGCTTAAAGTTGTACAGTGCATGACCTTTAACATGTAACACAATCTTCTGTGTTGTTTTGAACATCTCGATCGTGTGCCATTATTTGTTCATTTAGTCAAGAGCTTAGATTTGTTTTCTTTTAGTGTGTTGTTTCTGTGTCAGAAATCAAACCTGACCTTTCATTTACAAGACACACAGTTTCTGGTTGTCATGCCAAAATGTGTAAGATTAATACACCCTGGCTCATCAGTCAGTTCACAGCTGAATAGCATTCCATTTCTTATTTGAACATGTTTAGTTTCCTTGGCAGAAAATAAATATTCTGCTTATTAATGCCAAAAATCCGAGTCTAGCTAGGGGCCCCTAGCTACTGCTCTTTACACTGAAACAGACCAACAAAGGTTCAACTGACAGTACTATTAACACTGCTATTTTTTAAAGTGAAGAGAAACCACAACAACAACAACAGCAACAAATTGCTAATAAGGTAAGAGAACATACCTTTTTGTCCTGGTATAATCATTATTTAGGTTTCATAACACGGTTGTGAATTTATCCCCACAAACACTCAAAAGTGACAAGACATTTGCAAGCTGTAGTAAAACATAAAGTAACTGTGTACATAAACATTCCCTCATGACTGACATTATTATGTTTCTGTCACCAGGACTGATTTGAAACATTTTCATCTACCGTTTCACTCCGGTTTCCTTCTGGATCTTCAAGCTGGTGGATTTTAATGAGTCTGGTTTTGGGTAGACTACTGCAAGACACAGAGAAGAGGCTCATTAGATCAGTCATCAGACATTACTGACATAATAAATTAAGGCTTTATAGAAATAGGGGCAATTGGAATCTATATTGTCCAACAACAACAACAAAAAAGCCATAAACTGTCTTTTAAAAAATACCATTTCATCAAGAAAAGAAAAAATTCATTAAATTTGCATTTAAGTGACGCTATTAAAACTGTGAAAAGACCAATTAAATTTCTATTGATATGGTAGGGGAAATGGATTGAGTCTTTTGTTTGGTTTATTAATATATCATGTGAGTAATGGATTACAACTGAGCATTAAAGCCTTTAATTATTCTGGTCACACACACTCAGCCTCCACACAAGATGCCAAGGCATGCTGGAAGATGTGCAGAAGTACTCTGCTTTGTATAATAATTTGTGTCAGATATGGTGTTGCAAAAAATTTCATTTACTTACTAATCTTTTAAAACTTACATGAACTTCTTCTCCCTCATTTAAAAAAAAAAAGATTTTTTTTTATTTTAAAAGTGTAACTTCATTCTCAATTTATGTGCACTTCATGTTTGACACTACCACTTGTGTAATGTGACATATTAGACCATGACTGGCTTTCAAACTAGTTGTGATCTCATGAAATCACATTTGTATGTACGTGTTAAACTTAGATTTAATGTGAGCACAGAGAAGCAGACGAGCATGAAAACCTCATTCTAAAAAAAGCTGCACAGTGAAGCTCAAACATTCAAATCGAGGGGGAATTTTAAAAAACTGATGGAAAGAACAGAATGCAAACAGACAAACATTAAGTAGAGAGTCACCTAGTGGTCAGTGGAGTAATAAAGATAAACTGTCGGAGGTGCTGCCGCTCTGACAGCTCCAGAAGGAGATCCAGAGAGATTCTGCGATTGTGCATATCCTGCGAGAAAAAATTGTCAATAAAAGTGAGCTACAGTCAAACCTTTGTTAGCGTTTGCACAAACTGTTTCAGAAGTCTGTTTGGTGCACTCACCATGTAGACATCAAACTCATCCAGGCATCTGAAGGGGGATTCTGTAATCTCCCACAGGGAAAGCATGAAGCAAACGGTGGAGAAGGAGCGCTCGCCACCGGACAGCGACCTCATATCACCCACACCGTCGTCCTCTCTGCCCGGAGGCTTTACCTTTACGTGTACCAGAGCAGGTTTGTGTACTCAGTGTTTTTATACATGAGGGCAGTGCCTGTAGCAGTTTACAGTTCTTTGTTCAAGATTCCTTTGAGTATATATATATCAGTAGAGACAAAAAAAAAAAAAAAAAAAGACATGCCAGGATGACAAGCAGGCCTGAGCCCTTGGCCACCCCCAAGTTCCTCATCTTACTTTAAAATTAAAGTGTTAAAATGGTTACATGGAAGTGTTTTCTCACCAGTCATTTGCAATAAACACTTTTTCTTCAGTACAATGGGACTAGGTCCGTGATTCAATTAAATGTCTCAGTATTCCCATTATTAAACAGAACGAAACAACAATCGCTACACAATACATGCTATATACAAACTAACAGGAAGAAACTATCAATGCTTTTCATAAAACATAACGGGTAAAAAGACGTACTGAGATTGAGAGTGTCTCATTGTTGTGATCAAAAATCATGGAGCCACAGCAGTTCATCTTTATCAGGAAGTTGTTGAAGTATAACTTGCATCTGACAGAGAGAGACCTTTGGGAAAACGAAGAAAGACTCAGACAGAAACATAAGTTTCCTCTGCTGATTAAACCTTACGATAATGTATTTCTGAATTTCTTTTCAAACTCAGTAGGCTGTTATTTACCTACGCATTATTTTGTATCTGTTCTGCCTGTCTGACATGATGTTATCGAGTCGGTCGATGAACCTCCGCAAATCTCTCACTTGGTTGCTTTTCTCTCTGTAGAGAGCGAGGGCCTCAGCGTACTCCCTAATGAGGGCAGAGGGAAGAAATTGGAATGGCCTAAATTTTCAACCTTCTGTGTGCACACGCAAAACGAGGGCAGAAGATGATTTAGTGATGGCCAACGAGCAGACTGGATTGGATGGAGATATACAGCAGAAAAAGCTGTCAGCGGCAGAAGAAATTTCATTGGAGGAGCTGAACTTTAGTGGACAGCAACAAAATTTTTGTCCAAGAAGCTCAAACCAAGTGAAAATGACAAGACAGAAGGCTTTTCTAGCTCTTCTTCTAACTAAAGACAACCTAAAAAAAAACTGCACTAGTTGTAGCTAGGTGAACCTAATAAACTGGTAACTTGCATGTGTGTATAACTACTGAGTTTCAACCAAGGAAATCTGTTGTGTGTCCACAGCAGCTCTGTCTCTGACAAATATTTTGTACCTACTTAAGAAGCCTGTGATTCTCACCTGACCACCTGCTCCTGCTCGCCATGGCTGCTCTCATACACCTTTATCTTCTTCTTCAGCCGAGTGATTTCTGTGTCGATGCTCTTGGTGCTGCCGGTCACCTGCTGCCGTTCAGGACTGATCTTTGAGGCTTTTGACACATATTCCTGTCATCAAATGTACAGTAATGTCTGATGACAGTCTGGCGACTCTGAACGTGACTGGTGACAGCTACAGTATTTTGGAGGAAGTACAACTGTTTGGTTCAGTGTATTAAACTTTACTGTGTTAGCTAGTATTTAAGTACAACGAACTAAAGTACAGAATAAACAAAGCTTCTAATGTAGGCCTGTGGCTAGCAGAACAGCAAATCTATTGTACAAATTAAGCAGAGCTCTTGTTACCTTTAACTCTTCTTCTCTTTGGGCAAGGTCACTTTTCATAGCTTGAACGGTGTCTTCATGAGACTTCAGTTTGTTCTCTAAAATCTTAAGGTTTCGTTCATCTCTTGCGCACTCTGTCTCCAGTTTCAGCTGCTCATCCTTAGGGCCAACAAACAGTAATATTTAATTTAATTTAATTTAAAATAAGCACAAAACAAGTTTACATCCTTACAGATAACTTCACAACACTACAGAGGATTATGCAGGAGAAAAAGATCCTTTTCAAACAATTCACTGATCAAACACATTTAAATTAGAGGACAGAGGTAAGATCGAAACCACAGAAACAGACCTGCAACAGAAGTCAGAGGTTGTCAACAACCTCATGAATCTATATTTAGTGCCTGAACAAAGTGATGTGACAACATGCCACTGTACCTTCAGTGGTTCCATTTCCTCTGAAAGCTGATCAGCCCGTTCTCTAACAGAAGAGTACTTGCAGTCTATGTCTTCTACCATTTTTTGGTGCTTGTCAAGTTCTGTCTTTGCTTCATGTACAGTTTGTTTCTCTGCCTTGATTTTCTGTTGGTTCTCTTGCACAGCTTCTTCCTGCATGAAGTATTTGAAGACATTAGGCTTAAATAATCCATGCTATGATTTATATCTGTTTTGAAGGGACACAAATACAAACTAAATTATCACCAAGGAACTGATGTCATCGATTTGCTCCTCAGCGGCAGTTTCCAGCTCTGTTATTGTTGCCTTCACTTGATTCACAGAGGCCTGCACCAAAAACATAGATAAACACTATGATAATTTCCAGTTTAACCTTTAAAAGTCCAGATTAACCCCCCACTTTACAGAAGTGACCTCCATGTTAAAACACCACCAACACGATCAACCAAACTGCAGTATTGTTAAGTTAGCCATGTTTTCATGTCTGTGCTACATAAGTACAGTTCACAGACCAGCCTCTTCTTCAGGGTGATGATGGCGCTGTTCAGCGTGCTCTCCATGTCCACAATGTCCTCAGTCACAGAGGTCACATGGAGCTGAAACCTGGACAGCTGAGCCTGGTGATTCTCCAGGTCTGACTCCAACATACTGTGACAGGCAGAATTTTTATTTAAGCTCAAAGACCCATACGCTGCCACATATCTAAAAACTTCTGCAACTGAGGTTTCCACAAAAATCACATGACATGCTGCTTTGAATATTGCTGTCATTTCAATCTGACATAAGGGTGCAGTCATTAAAAATATACTGAATATTTAACTAAGGGTAAGTGACGTCATTAGTCAGTGGAACAGACAGAGTACTGTATATAAGATCAAGTCAGTGGTATCATGCATGTTTCTTTATTCAATAGTTCTTTGAATAATTACACATTTTTGTTTTTTTGCCAGCAGCCAGATGGGTAAGTTGATATTATTCTCATGTGTACATAGTAATTATGAAGGTAGCTTGGCTTAGCATAAAGGCTAGAAACAAAGGGAAACAACTAGTCTCACCTGGATTACCGTACAGACATAAGCGTTATTATTAAGGTTCCCCTGAACTTTCTGAAGAAAATCAGTAAGTGTATTTCCCAAAAAGTGGAACTATTCCTTTAACCATACTTAAAGTTTACAGGAAAAGTCTAGTCTATTTTTTTTAAATCCACCAATAGCCCTTTGTTGTTAAAACTACTCAAATTTGTCTTCAGTAATGACATAATGAGAGACAACCATTTTGTCAGCACCCAACACAACTTCAGGTCATTTCCAGCAGCACGTTTACAACTTGCGTTTCAGGTAGAATTTTTCTGCATCAGTCCACTCAAATCATCTTATACATCTATTTTTCACAGCTGATGTTTCTTGCAGATCAATTGATGTTAAAAAAAAAAAAAAAAAAAGCACAGTTACCTTATTTCTGTCTCAAGATCTCCGCCCAGATATTTGGCCATGCTGAAGTCAGAGGTGTAGTAACGGTTTGCATACACCTGATCTCCCTCCACAGTAAAAACCTCACGGCAGTTTTTCGGGGGCCGGTTGTGCTGCATTACCCTCCTCGCTTTGTCTTTCTCCTGTGGTCCAAGATCCAGCACATAATACAAGGTCACATGGACTGCAGTTTAATAACTTCACATCGCTTCTAAAACAGTCCTACATACAATATTCCCTTCTTAGTGAGCTACCTACTTTGATTATCAGAACTGATTCTATTCCTCTCATATCAATCAGACAGTTGATGATAACTGGGCTCGTTGCTGTGATTATGTCCAACACAGATGGGTATTCTGGGTGACATGCTTTTCTACAAAACAGCAGAAAACAAAACACTTTAAAATGTGCTGGGAAAATGCCTTTAAAAACAAATGTGGCAAAGAAAATCTAATCTGAAATGCTGATGCTGACCGTCCATGTATGTTGTAAACCTTTTCAGAGAAAGGGCTGACGATGATCTGTGGCCTGTTGCTCGCTGAATAATAATAAGACATCAGTTCCTGAAGGACAGCCTCGTCCTTGTAGTTGTCACAGCAGAAAGCTTTCATGAAGCTTCGCAGACAGCACTCCACGGCTACAGCTAATGTGGGATCCTTCAGACTGATACACGCCCCTGAAAGCAAACACAGGCCATCGATCACAAACTGTACAATTTAACTGAATTTGCTGCTTCACTTTAAATGTATGAAATAAAATGATGATTTCAAACATTTGGGGGGGAAAAGACAGCTGCATAACTGTTCTAACATTTTATAAATACGTCTATTTGCTTTTTTTGTTGACAGTTTGATAAGAAGATAATAAACTGAAAACGCATGTCCATTGGGTACAGTAAGTATGACCTGAGAGGTGGGTAGCTTAACTTAGCATAGAGCCTGGAAGCAGGGTAGAATATCCACCTAGCAGCACCTCCAAAGCTCACTAATTAACAAGTCATATCACATTTGTTTAATCCATACAAAAACGCATTGTACAAATTAAAAATTGTGGTTTTACAGGAGGGTTTGAGGGATTAATTCTAAGCCAGGAGCTGTAACTCTCTTTAATTTGATGTTTCTTCACTTTGGTTTTAGCTTGGATTAAACAAAAAAGTCACGATGTGTTAATTACTGGATTTTAGAGGTAATAGATGAATTTTGTTGCTTTTGGACAGAGCCAGTTTTGCCATTTTCTGACTTTTAGTCTTTAGGCTAAGCTAAGCTAACAGATGGCTGGCAGTACCGTACAGACATGAGAGTATTTCCCACAATGTCAACTGTTCTTTTCTGTAGAACCAAATCTTCTATGTAATGCAGCGAGGATGTCAAGTCAACAAAACATAAAAACAGGAACTCACCTATTGGACCAACAGGTTTCTTGAGAAACCGTCCTGTGGCATAAGCCTGAGTGATCGAACCCAGCAGGTCAGGTACATGATCTCCAAAACGCTTGAGTTTGTTTGATCGACTGGCGAGGAGCTGATTCTTCCTCTTCACTTTGGACTCGTATGAAAATTGGATATTTCTTTCCTCCAGTCTAGTATTTACAAACAAAGCTGGATCATGAAATTTCACTGGAATGCAAATAAACTGGATTCAGACAAAGCAAACATAATTTTCCTGTACCTTAGCTTGTCGCGTTCTTCCTTTCCTTTAAAAAGTGCTTGATGTTTGTTCTTAATTTCCTGATTTAGCTGTGAGCACTTGTTCTCTAGTTCTGCCAGCTGCTCTCTCAGACTGGATAAGGTCTTCTGTTGTTTCCTATATTCTGTCTCTCCATTGCTGTTTAGGATTAAACTAAAATACAATGGAAAAAAACATACCACACATATATGCATGCTTTTATAAGGCGGAGGCATCATTTAGTCTTTCTTGTAAGCTTTCCACTCCCCTACCTTGCTTTTGCCTTCTCCTGAAGAAGGTTTTGCTCCTTCTCTGACTGTTTGAGTTTGTTCAAAGCCCTAAAATAAACAAGCTATAGGAAAAGGATGTCACTTTAACAAATATAAATTGTATATTTAATATGTAAAAAAAAACACCACTTTGCACAGACAGAACCAGGTTGTCATATTTCCTAATCAGTACCTCTTGTTCTTGGTGAGCTTTGCTAATGACCTTCACTTGTTCTTTCAACTTGAGACTGTCCTCCTTTAGAGACTCTTGTTCCCCTCTTAGACTGTCAATTCTGCTTTTGATGTGCTGAATCTTCTTCTCTACTTGCATGACCTTAGTCTGTGTGAATGATAAACAAAAAAGAGTGAACACAATGTCTAAAACAAATGATTTTCCATTTACAATCTGCATTTTTCAGTGGATCTACTGTTCAATTCAGTTTTATTTGTAAAATGCCAAATCACAATAGAAAGCATCTCGGGGGACTTTACATGGTAAGGTCTAGGCCATCCAGTATTATAGAGAAAACCCAACAAATCCCCCTTGAGCAAGCACTTGGCAACAGTAGGGAGGAAAACCTCCCTTTATGGGAAGAAACCTCAGACAGACACCGGCTCTTGGTGGGTGGCCTTCTGCCTCGACCACTTTGGGTGAGTGGACAGAGGAGAGAGAGAAGAAAGAAAAGCATCAGGACACAACAAACAAAACAAACAACCAAGCACTGGGTAGGTTAATGTGGCTGGTGAGTGCTCATCAGAAACGTACAGCCCCAGAGCCAGGACTACCTGCGGAAAGGTACAGGGAGAGAGAAAGAGAGAGGACACACTACGGGAGAGAGGAGACACAGTTAGTGATGTGTAATGGTGGCATATACTGTAAATGCGTGGAGAGGAGAAGAACTCAGAGTTCTACTACTCTGAGTAGTAGAACTACAGTTAACACTTTAGTATGTGAAGTACAGCCAGCCACTTTATATGATGGTGAACTTTAGAAGTGCTCCAACATTTATAAATAGGCTTGTGTATATTTAACAAAGAAAGACCACTTATGACTCACCTGGCAGAGCTGAAGGTTGTGCTGATGTTTGCAACTGTTCTCTTCCTTTTCAATATCCTCCCTCAGCTGCTGTATGAGCTGCTCCTTCTCTCTGACCTGAAAGTGATTAAAAATGTATCTTCATCATGTTCAAAAGCAGCAATTTACTGAAAAAAACTGAGAATGGACTGTTAGGCAATGTGTTCTTTTGTTTCTCTTTAATTTTGTGGCTTTCTTTCCATACTTCCTAAACACTACTCAGAAATTATTTTTAAAAAGTAGCAGGTGGAACCTTTACTGAAGTTGCTTAATCCATTATAAACAATGCCAACTGAATTTTTTTTTTTTTACCAAACACCATGCCATCGCTTTCTTCAGATTCTCCAAGGCCACCTTCATCTCACTGAAGGACGATAAATTTTCATATATCTCTTTCCTCTGTAGAAAGTCCTGCTTTAGGTCCTTGAGACACTGAACACAAGAATGTTGTAAAAATCAGATTTATTTTGGCACTGTACATATTATTCATAGACAAACGTATCAGTAGCGGGTAAACTTTATACAGACCTTTTCAAAACAGAAAGTACAAAGTAGTTTACAGGAAGAAGAACAGGGCATAGAGGGAGAAAGAAAAGACAGAAGACAATACATAAAACAAACAGAAAAAAGGGGCACAACTCACAAAACTCAAGGTATAAAACTATGAGAAAACAAAGAACACTGCAGCTGTGTTAAAAATATTACCATTAGTTATTATTGAAAGTACCTGGTGCGATAAATCAGGTTTTATGTTTTCAACCATAAGTTTTATGTTGAACACAGTACCTCTTCTTGTCTCTCCACCTGCTGTCGTGTGATTGTTTTGGTGTGCTTGATGTGGATGTAATCCTGCTTCATCTGTTCCAGCAGGGTTGCTTTCATAAAGAACTACAAATGACAAACAAGAACATTTATTTAAACAGCTAAGAAATACATACAATCATATTAGCATCTTAAAATTCAAAGGGTCAGAACAAACATGGTAGCGTTTTACCTTGTACTTCTCTGATTCACTTTTTGAATGCAGGAACTGTTTACTCATTTCTTGGTTGAGAATGGACACCGGGTTGTCCAACTGCAATACACGAACAAGTATATAACTTTGCAGTATATCAAGGATGCGTTTAGGACACTCAAAAATAATTACGATATTAAATATGTGAGGCAATCATCAGGGCTTAAACAAACGTGCAAAAAAAGAAAAGGAGCTTCACAGTGAGTACCTGAATGTTGAAGTGGTCCAAAATGTAGGTCAATTCCTCCTTCTTGTTTGAGATAAGTTGTCCTAAAATACAAGATACGGGACAATCTCTGTTATGGTAACTACTTTGAATACTGATTAATCATTTTAGTAATTTTTCAAGCACAAATTCCAAATGCTTTCCAGCTTCTCACATATCAGTCGTTTATAACAGTTAACTGAATCTGAACCTTGTTGGGTTTTAAACTGCAAGTTGCATGAAACAAGCTATTTGAAAACATAATCTTGACCTGACATTTTTCTGGCAGTTTATGCACAAAGCAGTTAATAGAGCAATGAAGAAAATAACTGACAGATTAATCAATGGATTAATGACCACAGCAGTTAACTGCAGCCCTACAATTTACAACAGGACAACGGCAGAGTAAAGCACGAGATCACGTGGTCAGTTAAACACTCATTTCAGGTTGAAGACTTATTCTGTTCAGAAGCAAACAAGTGCAGTTCATTTTATAAAATAACTCTGACATTTACAACTTAAATATAAAACTTGGTATATAACAGCAAGACAGTGGCATGCATATAAAACGCACGAGTGTGAGTTTATAGGGAAAACTTGGGCACGACCCAAGGGTGAAAAATGTACACAGTGTTGGGTGATGACAGTCTGACTGAAGTGCTTTGACTTCACTCCCGAGTGTGTTTGCTGAATCTTAAATTTAGGGAAGGTTTAAGAGGACTGGGACAGACTCACCCTGGCATGAGGATAATCTGACAGTCACGAAAAGTCACCTGATTTGCTCCTCAGCTTGCAGGTCCGACTTCCATCACTTGAGATACGATGCTCGATGAAAATGCAGTCACCATAAAAGTCCGTTCTATAAGCATCTGGTCCTCTGTTTCTCAGCCTTATTGTTATATCTGCAGTACTACAGAAAAGAATATACTGCAATGGCATTCTTGTAGCATCTTCTTACAGGTAGAGAAAATTACAGCATTTCCAACAACACATTATATAATCTGTCTTACTTTTCTCCGGTCTTCACAAAATCTTTTAGCGATATCCCCCTGTTTGTGACAGTGGCCTTTCCACCGAGGCCGACAATCAAAGCAGTCAGGATGGCACTTTTTCCACCTGAGAATTTAATTGGAAACAACCAAGATGAGGAATTAAACCACAGCATGGAAAACAAATTGCACAGTAATGAATACCAGGATGAACTGTATGCAAATAAATACAAATCTATAGAAATGCATCAGTAAAGCTGCTTAGGGTAAACAGTTTCTTAAGGGGAAGAGGTGGGTGCTTGCAGGGCTGTCGCCCATGACTGGTTAAATTGGTTAAATGTCAGCATTTTCACAGCTCAACTATTATCATTACAAGCACATGTGTGATGCACAGCCTCTGCTCAGGGGTGTGTGTGTTTGTGTGTGTGTGTGAGGGGTGCAGCCCCACCCTTGTGTAAACTTGACAGGCAGACACAAAGATAAATGCAGTAGAAAATCAAAGCAGAGTGGACTGTATCAGCCCATGAGGGTGTGCTGGGGTTATGAGATCGGGCGGCATATTACTGTCCAAACCCAACTTGGGCCCAAGAGTGTGGCATCTGAAACCGCCAAGGACCTGACAAGCTTATAGTATATAATGTCCCAACCTGACCCGAGCGTGATGCAGTTAAGTTTGTATGGTGTTTTTTCCCTTATCATTAAATGAAGCAGACATGTGAGTGCTCTAGCCGTCTAACCTAAAGTTTGACCTACGAGTCCGAACCCAACACAGACCCGAACATAATTTCTAAATTTCTATCTGAAATTTCTTGTCATATGACAAACAAAACAAAATAAAGCCCTAAGTGTGACATCTGCCTATCTGGTTGTTTATCCGTAGAACTATTAACAGCTCGACCGCTGCTGAAATACAGACAGTTACAGTCCTATATGGTATTAAATGACCTCTGTTTGATCAGGAGATTGATTATCAAGAGGCCTTCATTTAAAGGGAGTACACACAGTGGATTTCTTTTTCACCTTGGGGGGTTATACGGTGTTAAACACACAAGGCAGAGCCAGCAGCAGATTACATGACATTTAGAGACATGGTTCTTACTTCCATTGTTGCCAACAATAAAATTCACATTGGGGCCAAACTGGAACGGACCAAGCAGGTGGTGACACATGAAATTCTTTAGAGTGATGCTTTCAATGAGGCCAATATCTCCCTAGAAATAGATAAAGAAATTATCATTAAACATCGAATGAGCTGCTGAGAAGTAAAGACAAAGAACTGGTGCTTCATGAAGAAATGAATTACTGTGGCTGAGTGAGCTGTAGTGACAAAGCTGTTGGTGGATGGTCCCTGATGATTTGTACCATCTGCTGCATCTGTCACTCTCCGGCTCTTGACAGCTGTTGCATCACTGATCACTTTGCCTTTCCTTTTACTCATTGTGAAACAAGTCACTGAAAATATAATTAACAGGAAGAAGCAGAACACTGATGTCAGTACTCTTTACTATGAGACACCCACAGGTCAGTCTTGACAGGCCACGTTAAGTCCACTTTTAAAGTATTTAAGTTTATGCAGCTGACAGATCAATTTGTACAGCTGCAGCTGATCAGAGATTGTCACACCATCATTTGTTGCCAGCGAGAGGAATGTCTGGGCAACTGTGCTCCAACCAATGGATGGATGGATGGACTCCTTCATTTGTGTTATGTTGAGTTGTTGAGTTGCAAGTTTGCGATGTCTTATGTTGTGTTTGTGTTACAATGGGGGAAAAAAATACAACAAAAAATCTCACCATAACAAAAGTCTCTGAGGATTTCATGTTTGACAGTGGACATCATGATGCACACTTTAAACACCAACTTATTTCCTTTCCCAAGAACTTTTGAACTTTGATAAATTTGATGTTATCAGCTTCTAACTATAGTACGTTCATCACTCTGTGCTGCTAAACAGGTTCTTCAAGTTCTTCCTTTTTGTGAAACGGAGCAAAACTTCAAAAACTATGCGGTCTGCTATTTTCAGGAGTGTGAATATGTGACGTCAGACCTACGGCAGGGTAACGTTTAAATAAATTTGAACAGCTTTAAAGAATGCGATTACAAAAACTGGTTTGCCCAACTGTGTGCATGTAGAAAAAAAAAGCCTTTTGTTTTCAGGCCAGGAAGCCACAGCCTAAAGACAGCAGCTCAGCAGCAACGCAAACAGGTGTTATATGCACACAGCTCTGTGGATGAACATTTATTCTAGATTTCATGTTTCCAGATTTTTTTTTCTGATTCATACTGATACTGAGATTATTTGCCTCACATAAACCTATTTCAAAATGTTTTGTACAAGCATATAGACATAATAGAGCTCTATATGCCTACAGACTCTTCAGTCAGCCAGTCAGTGGGATATCATCCAGTGGCTCAACTAGCTGTAGAATTCCCACCACTCTGTAACATCAGAGAAACCCTGGGAGTGCACAGTGTTTTCAACACTACGCACACAAGTCCAAAATTACACTTTACTGTCAGCCACTATACAACAGAAGGTGAATTCAAAACACCACAAAACGTCTGGTAAACAAATAATCAATCAATCTTGTTATAAACTTTGCCTACCATTGCGCGATCGCCTGCGTGTGCAGCCTGCAGAAATAACATGATAATGAAAGACAAGAGTTTAAAAACTTCCTGTTCGCAGTGTTGTGGACTGAACGGCAGCAGTTATGGGTGGAAGACAACGCTGCCAAACACGGAACACAGACCATGCAGCGCCTGATTGGCTGCTCATCCACCTGTGTGAGCCTTGTGCTTTTGAATGAAAAGGTCCCGATGTAAACTTCATAAGCCAATAAATGGTGCGATATTTGGAGCTTAGCCCATATAAATGTTCAAAAGAGCCTGCTTGTATCTTTCGAGGCGTTATAAATGGCCCTGCGCCATGCGTAACCGCTGCCTATAAAAACCCACGTGAGCACCACCCCCTACAGCCTGTCATTCAAACAGAGAGGAACAGCGTGTCGTGTTATCTGCAGCCAGCCTGGTGACAGAACATCAAACGAGTCATGTAAGAGCTCGCATATTATTTCAGGTTAATCGGGTTAAATGCTTATGATGGAGATGTATGGCACACCGGAGAGACAGTGTGGAGTTGTTGGAAATGTTGGGAACCACTTGTGTGTACTGTTTCACATGGTGAAGGTGGAATACAATGAAGGTTTTAACAGTTTTGTGCTCCACAGTTGCTGATTTCCCGTTTGTGAACATGTAGCCTACAACTCCTTTTAGCGTAACTGGGATGACAACTTTTGCATTAGTGACTCGCACTAATAGGATGTAGGTTGCCCCTCTTGGACGCTGACACAGTTGATCCATTCACGTTTTATGGAAATTCTTGTATTTAAGTGGTGCTAAAATTCTAGTTTATATCTGTTAAAGGCTGTCAGTCTTTGATTCAGCTCTTATCTCAAGTCCCAACTTGTTCTGTTAAAGGACAAATATTCCGTTAAGTCCCTTATCAGTCAGTGTAGGTGAGGGCCTACTTAAGACCATGGTTCCACTTTGCAGATGCCGGTTTCCTGTGTTTCTTTCATATGTAGGATGCATCTGGAGTCTGTAACTGATAAATCATCATCACTCTCACATTGCCTGTCAGGCTTCTTTGTACAGTCAAGCTGAAGATGAATAATTACTGATATCCACCATAATTCAGTGTGTGTCTACTTTGAAAGTGTTGTAGCTTTTTAATGAGTTAATTTGGGTATAAAGTGTACAGATGGTCACTGCCTGAAAAAACGCTTAACAGGATCTTGATGCCAAATAACCCTGCTTAATTCAGTGAAGCAGTGTTTTTGGATTTTATACAAATGTAATTTTTTAAGTTTTAATGCTGATTTATTTATTTATTTATTTATTTTTTCCAAACATTATGTGGCAGCCATTTTGACATGGAGCAGTTAAATGATTGCTCAAGTTGATTAAGCATGTAGATAGTAACTGAACTGCCAGGGACAAACTGATAGCATTACCCTTTAAGTGCTTTATAATAATGATTAAAAGGCATGTTTTTCTTAACATTAATACATTTCTTGGTTCTATCTTGCAGGTACAATTGAGCACCAAGCTTCACAATGTGTTCAATTCCCGGGCTTCCAACGGCAGGATCAGAAGTACTGGTTCTTATCACAAGGGTAAACCTAAACTCCAGCAGGGGTCTTGTGGAATTATGGGTTAACATGGATGATGGAAGGAAGTATATTTATGAGCAAATGAGAGAGGAAATTCAAATTCCTAAAAGGAAGTTTTATGGCTCAGAAGGAAAACCAGGGGACCATTGTCTGGTTTGTATCAATGACACATGGCACAGAGCTCGGATTTTATCACTACAAAGTGAAACTTACAGTGTTTTTCTAATTGATCAGGGACAGCCCCACATTGCCACAAGAGAAGATTTAGCCTGGGGCCACAGTGACAGTTTTCTCCTTCCTCCTGAAATTGAATCCTGCATACTTGCAAACATCCTCTCCCTTGAGAATAACTGTCCAGAAAGAGCCACAAAGTTCTTGAAGTCTCTGCCTGGAAAGAGGTTTAAGGGACTGGTTCACCATGTACTGATGCCATACAGGAGAATTCTCATTGATATACCAATTCTTTCCAAGCACATGTGTAACTTTGGTGTTGCAAAGAAAATACCAGGGGACAAGTTTAAAGGCCTTGCAAAGAAATGTCTAGAATTACCCAAAGGAGAGACTTCTGAGGCTGACCATGTAAAGGAGGAACAAACTTTGAATGTTAGTTGCCAACTTGAGAAGCATGACCAATATTTTTACCCAGAACTGTTAGCTGACATCTTTGAAATCGTTAAGGTGACAGAGGTAATTCATCCACATCACATTTTTTGCAAGCTCCAAATTTTTTCCAAAGCAGAGAAGATATTATCAGAACAGATCCACCAACATTATGAAGAAGGTTCAGATATTGGAGATGTGCGACCAGAGACCTGTGGTGATTCATGTGCTGCTAGAGTAAATGGGAGATGGCATCGCTCATTACTAAAGCAAAACATTGTGAACAACGATGGTGTTGTAGAAGTCTTGCATGTGGATGAAGGAAAAACTGAATTAGTGCCAGTTAGAGACATCAGACCACTGCATGGGAAATTCCTGAGAATGCCAGTTGTCACTTATCTCTGTTCTCTCGATGGAGTAAAAGACAATGGCACAGGGTGGACTACAGACCAGTCTGATTACTTGAAATCTTTGCTCTTGAACCAGACATTTGTGGCCAGGTTTAACCACCACAATATATCTCAAGATGTCTATTATGTCACTCTTTATGCAGCTGATGCAACATGTGTAAACAGTCGTTTTTTGGAGAAGGCAGGACTTTTTCCACCCTCTAAGAATGAACAAGATTCAAATGTCCAGAATGAACCCATTCCCTTACCACTTCTCATTTCTCTTGAAGAACAATGCTTTGATGTACAGAACCAAGTCAACGTAAATGGTGATTCGCAAGAAGAAACTTTGCCAAGCACCAAGAACTTAGCAATCGATGGCAGGACATATGATGTACCCACTTCTGGTGCTAATGACCTTCATATCGAAAAGAGCTCAGAACACCAAGACTCTTTAATACACAGCAACAGGGTTGTTCCAACAGGTTTCCCTTCTGAGGTGCACAACGCTTGTGATGACAGTGAGTTTACAGTAGAAAGTAGTGTCAGTGTAAAAGTATCTTGCATTGAAAGTCAGCAGAAGTTCCGGTGTCAGTCAACAGAACACAATGATGCTCTTAAACTTCTTATGCAAGACCTGCAAAACCACTATGAATCTGCCCATCCTCAGTCACTTGTTGACTCCATCTATGTTGCTCGTAATCGAGACAATGGTATGTGGTACAGAGCAAGGATCATTAAAGGTGATGACTCCCCTGCTGTAGATGTGAAATTTATAGACTATGGTGAAACTCGAAGGATACTTCTGCATGATTTATGCCCCATTGATCCAGCTTTCTTACGACTGAATGCACAGGCTTTTCAGTGTTGCTTATTCAATCAAAAAAGTCCCTCTAAACCAAGTGCTGTTTCTTGCACTGATGCTTCATTAGCGGAGTTTCAGAAGTTTGTGGATTCAGGGGCATCATCAAACACTGAGTTGAAATGCACTGTAGAAGATGTAGCATCTGATGAAGAAGGTCTGCCACTTAACGTGGTAGATACTGAAACACCACATGACAGTGCATGCAAGGTTTTGGCTCAGAACTGTGCACAGGCTAAAGCCCATGTGCAGCTTCCTTCAAAGGTCCCATCAGATGCATACAATTATTCCACATATAATATTGAGGTGGGTGGAAAAGAAAAAGTGCGGGTGACCTCTTCAGAGAGTGTCAGTCACTTCTACTGCCAACTGCACAGGAATTCTCATTTGTATGATAAAGTGATGGAAAGTGTTAAACAACTAACTGGCCAGCCAGAGTGCAGAGATCACCCACTTAAACCTAATAGTATTTGCTTTGCTAGATACACTGATGATCAGTGGTACAGAGGTCAAATAGTAGAAATGTCTCCAAAACCTAAAGTGCACTTCGTAGACTATGGTGATACTCTTGCATTGAATAAATCAGATATTCGGCCCTTTCCCTCTGAAGAAAGTATTGCCAGGTCTGTTCCTGTGCTGGCTGTTCCACTAGCACTGTTTGATGTCCCAGGAGAAGTGACACAAGAAGTCAACCAGTGGTTTGCAGATCATACCGTTGAACATAACTTTACCATTTCGGTGGTAGCAAAAGCGGCAAAAGGCAAGCTAATTGTTGAAATGTTTGAGAGGTCCCTGAATGTAAATGTAAAAGTCAGAGAGAAGATATCAAAGATGGCACAACAAAAGAGTACTGGTCTAGATCAGAAAACTGATCAGCAGCTCTCTAACCGCTCAGAATGGGCTAGTGTGCCAAATGAGGACTGTTTCACGCATGAGCTCATGAATGTGCCAGTAATGAAGATGACAGAGCAAAATAAAGTCCACAGCAACAAGGGAGTGATTGCTAGAGATGAGCCAAAGATGAGTTCACAATCCCCAACTGTCCGTGTACCAGAGACTGAACATGGAAAGACTCCAGTTGAAGAAAAACAACCAACTTTGGATGTCATTCTTAAGGACAAAAGAACTGTGACACAAGGTAGCCACAGTAACTCAGAAATAACACAAATTTCACTTCTTTGCCCTGAGGAAAATATGAAAATCTACAATTACAAGTGGCCAAACAGTTGTCAAAACAAGACACAGGAGGCATATGCGTCTTGTATTGTTGGGCCACATTACTTTTGGTGTCAGTATGCCAATACTGAAGAACTGAACATGTCAAGGCCTCTTCAGGAAGCAGGACAGGCTCAGCAGGACATAATGTTCCCAGAGACTCTGGATCCTGGAAGCCCATGTCTTGCTCTCTTTTCTGATGACAACCAGTGGTATCGAGCTCAAGTAATGCAGAGAACTGGCAATACTCTCCATGTTCTGTTTGTTGACTATGGAAATGAGTCTGATGTTGACATCAAGAATGTGAGATCACTGCCTCCAAGTCTGCTGGAGAAAGCCCCCAAGGCTTTTTTGTGCTCTTTGGATGGATTTGATGAGTCTAAGGGCTTCTGGAATGACGATGTTTATGATGACTTCTACAGTCTCTTGGTTGATAAACCACTCAGTGTGACAACGTTTAATATGGAAAAGCATTCAGAGATTGAAGTTCCTCGGTATGCAGTGAAAATTGAGTGTGATAATCTGGTTATAAATAGCCTATTGCAGAAATACTGGAACCCATCCTCCATGGGATGTGCTAAAACTGAAATGGCTCAAACAGAAACTTTTCTCCAAGGTGGTCAGACTGAGTTGAAGAAAACAAACCTCAATGTTGGCAAAGGAAATCTGAATACTTGTGTGTACAGGAAGCCAAACATTTCCAAAAATGAAACACTGGAGGTATACGCCTCTTGTATCGTGGAACCCCATTTCTTCTGGTGTCAATATGCCAACACAGAGGATCTTAGCAAAGTTTCAGTCTTTGCTCAAGAAGCAGGACATGCACAGCAGGACATGATGTTCCCAGATACTCTTCATCCTGGCAGTCCATGCCTTGCTCTGTTTTCCAGTGACAACCAGTGGTACCGAGCTCAGGTAATTAAGAGAACTGGCGATACTCTCCATGTTCTCTTCACTGACTATGGAAATGAATCTGATGTTAACATCAAGAATGTGAGATCACTGCCTCAGCATCTGCTGGAGATGGATCCTCAGGCCTTTTTGTGCTCTTTGAATGGATTTGATGAGTCAACAGGCTCCTGGGATGATGATGTTTATGATGACTTCTACAATCTCCTGGTTGATAAACCACTTAGAGTGACAGTGTTCACTGTGAAGGATCATTCAGAAATGGCAGTTAGTCAGTATACTGTGGAAGTTGAGTGTGAGGGAGTGGTTGTGAATACACTGATGAAGAAATACTGGAAAGGACTGGGCACAGAACATGCCTTGGCAAGAAGAGTGGAATCAGGTTAGGAGATTACACTTCATACAAATTAAAATATGCAAATTTAAATATTACAGTATATTAAGGTTTTTAATAAGTATCATATTCCCTAGTTTATTTAATGCTATTTGATCTTTTGTCTTTAGTGGACCAGAATGAAACCAGGACTATGGGCCAGAGTGTTGGGGATTAAAGTCATGAAAAATGCATCAAATGAATGGTAAGACTTGGTCTTCTCAACCAGTTTGTCTTGTGTAAAGACCATGAGAAATTTGTGTCACAAAGGTTCTCTGCCATCATAAAGTACTGCAAGGACCTTTTCATTAATGGCAAACAGGTGAAATATTAAGACACTATTTCATTAAGGTGTGAAAGTCAATATTAGGAAACTGAGAATATATTAATGTTTAGATTTTACGTTTTCAAAATATGATCTAATCTTTGTGTTTGTTCCTTTCAGTTCTGGACTCCTATAAATGCCTGTGGGGAAACACAGCTGTGACAGAGCAATCTTGACTTTTGTGAACTTGTTGTGTTAGAAATTGCGCTAACTCAAATGTTTCCTAAATAAATGAAATATTGTGTAAATGCATAAACGTGGTGGTGAATTTTTAAAATGGCCTATTGGTTTTAACTTTAAGAGGTGAACACAAGTGTTATGATTCCAGTGTCTGTTTTTCATTTCATTTTTATTGAAACTATCAGAATGTGGGAACACAGACACACTCCTGTACATAGCCTATCGTTCCATAATTAGGAGTCAGGGACGTTAAATGAAATTAATTACTGTATAATGAAAAATAACGGTTGAAAAACAATGTCTTAGAGTAGCAGATTTTCTGCTTTTTGATTAGACATTATCAAAGGCTAGCTACATATAAGATGTATTGCTTTATGAATGTGCTACTTCCCAGCAGACAGAAGTTACCAGTCAGCTAGCCATTATGAAGACCTTTGCCCCTAAAGTAGCCTATATAAATGCAAAAGCAGTGGTGTAAATACTCAAGATTGTTTATTTAAGAGTAGCAATACCATAGTGTAAAAATACTCTGTTACAAGTAAAAGTCCCACATTCAAATTGTCACTTAAGTAAAAGTATGAACATAAAATATGCTCAAAGTACTCATTGTGCAGAATGGCAGTTTACATTAATGCATATCATTATTGGACTGTTGCTTATTGGTGTATTATTGCATACATCACAAGTCATGTTGGAGCTTTTAAAAATACATACTGCTGGGTAACTTGTGAATTTCCCACCAGGGGTCAATAAAGTCTTGTGATTATCCTGTAGTTTGTTTAATTAATCTCAGTCTGTAACTAAAGTTAACAAATAAATGTAGTGAGTACAAAGTACTATATTTTCCTGTAAAATGTAGTGAAGTTGAAGTCTGAAATAGCAGAAAATGAATATACTCATGTAAATTAGATACCTCAAAACTGTACATAAGTACAGTACTTGAGTAAATGTACTTAGTTACTTTCAACCTCTGTGCCAGTGACGTGCGGCCAGGGGAGGCAGGTGAGGCAGAGCCTCCCCTGTCAATCTTGAAAAGAAAAAAAGTTAACCATAAAATATAATAAATGTTAATATTTGTCGGCTGGTGTGTGTTGTAGGCCCTTTTTCCGTTCGAATCCGATGTCGAAGGAATTTCTTTCAATAAAGAATAGCAGAATTTACGTATGTCCCGTTGAAATACATGGAGGAGATGCGCGATGAGGCAGCACTTTGCTGTGCCTCTCGGTGGATCGTGTAATCCTCACAAACTGTATGCGATGCAAATAGTGTGTCGCTGTCCCTCTATATATCACAAATAAAACGCTTTCAAACACGCTGATTATATGCTCTGCCTTGCCATAATCTGGATAATGTATAAAATGTAGTTCTGTAACGTGTTTAGGCTCCAGATTAACCATAAAACCCAGTAAAAAAAAGTTACTCGGTGAGGCAAACAGTACGCCTAAATCTTAACCTCAAATTAAATATGGGTCACGTTTGTGTGAAGAATGCTGATATGAGATATAAAACAACGCATTGTCTATTAACAGACAATTTGTATTTGTAAATCTGACTGTAAAAGAGTTAGTGCCTCACCAGCTTTCAACCTCACCGCACGTCACTGCTTGGTTTCTTCTCAATGTACAGCAGGTGGAAGCCTCAATTTACCGGTTCAATTTAGGACAGGGCGCCATGTTGTGTCGCTCAGCGGTCGCTAGGCAACCTTTGTAAGACAATGACAGAGTTACACCAGGCTGCAGCAGTAGGCGATTTTGATCGAGTCCAGGATATTCTTAGGCAAAATAAATGCAATCCCAATTATAGAGACGTCGACTGGAGCTGCAAGACACCTCTTCACTGGGCAGCAGCTAAAGGTAGTTATTGGATGAATGGAAATTTCCCCGACAGGCGGCACCTGGCTCTGCCTGTCATTGGAATGGGTGACCAAAATGCTGTGAAAGTGTCAGCTTCATATATTTTACTCCTTTGGGGATTATACTGTATCGGATATTTGTACTTAGGTTTCTCTTGTCAACTTTTCAGTAGGAAAAACTGGTCTGCAAAATAAACAAATGAACTGAACATGTAACTACTTTTAAACATCAAGATTTTGGGCATCAGACCATGTTTTGGAACAATAACTCAGTTTTAATATTTTTAGTAGCCTAAATTACTTATGGGCAGCATTTGAACTGTAGAAAATATCCTCTTCCACTCTAATCATGAGCTGCAGCCTCACTGCACCAATCTTCACATATGTTCCTGTTTTCTATTTACAATGAAACCAGGGGTGTTTCACCGTAAATTAACTTGTAGTGGTCAAGGTGTCCTTGTAGTTTAACCTAACCAAATGGTTTCCTGATTTTATCAGATTTCCCATTCACAAATTCAATAGGCTAAAATTATAGTTAAAATGTTTTGACACTTAAAGAAGTCACCGGGTTCATAAATGCATGTGTCGGATCACATTCAGTTGCCTTTTCCACAGGACATACAGAAACAGTTAAGATCCTCATTGAGCACGGAGCTCGGCCATGTCTGAGGACGGAGCATGGATGGACACCTGCACACTATGCTGCAGAGTTTGGCCGGCTGGCCGTGCTACGATTGCTACACTCCCTTCATGCCCCTATAGACAAGGAGGACAGCTGTGGAGACAAACCAGTGCGGATAGCTGAAATATATGGACACCAGGACTGTGTTCGATTTCTTAAAAAGTATAAAATGTCCAATTTTCCAATTTTTATTCTATGAATTATACGTCCTTTATTTGCATGCATATGTCATATTTTAATACAGAGTCTTTCTTTCAAATGCACAACCCAATGTGGAATAACTTCATCTTAATCAATGACATCACTTAAGTAATTAACTTCTTGTACATTGCAGAGCGGAGATTGAGAGCCAGGCCTACCGAAAGCTGGCAGCCCAAAAAGGGATTCCTATTGATGACACCGATGAGGAATGGGCAGAACGGGGCAAAGAAAATGAAGAAAACAGGATCTCTAAAAGCAACATTCGGATGTAGACGCCTAGCTCACTTTCACACAACAAAATGTAAACAAGAGTCACATCCATGCAGCTTTCCATTTGAGAGTTTTTGTGTGGCATTTCAGTGCAATGAAAAACATGCAGGCTAATATACAGTATTACTTAAACCACTTTTCATATTAATAGACTATAATGCAACAAACAAACAAAAAAAAAATACAGCTTCAGAATTTTTCAGTAGCCCTTTCTACTAAACAGTGGACTTTAACTTGTATCAAAGCAAAATAAACAACAAAGCATATCAGAAATAGTCACATATTTGTGGTATTATGTGTAAAATGTACTGTAAATTGCTGTGGCTTAAGAGTGCACACATTTGAAGCAATTTTCACATCGAAGTTGAGTCTAACTTTGTGGTGCTGTCGGTGCTGGATGCAGTAGCCTGGACAGCGGAGGAGAGGGATGTGTAAAATTAATCAATTGTCACTGTGGTGTTTTGCATCTGAGTTAGCCCAGTCATGCACTTACCTTTTTCTTGAAATGATTCAGCAGTGCTTCACGGGTCTGTCAGAAATGAATAAAAACATTATTAATGATTTGATGCCATACCTGTTTAGCATTTTTGTTCCACACTGAACTTCTTAAAAAAAATAGGACAAAAGTCTAACTTGTTATTATGATGTGTTGTAATTTGGTTACACTCCTTTATTTAGTGACCCCAAAGCCTAAAGTTTGTTCTTTCAAATTTTAAATCATACCACAATTCCCTTAAATACTTCTTCACTGTAAAAATGTTGAGCTTTTTGCTCCCCATAACAAAATTTTTGAAGGACTAGTAATTTTGGAGAAAAATACTTATTTGCTTTCTCACCAAGAGTTCGATGAGAAGATAAATATGAAGCTGAAGCCAGCAGCTGATTAGCTTAGAGTAAAGCGAAATAGTGTGAAACAACATGCCTGGCACTGAAGGCAACAAAATCTGTTGAGCAACAGCCTCTAAAGCTTGCAAGTTAACATGTCTTATCTCCTCTGTTTAATTTGTACAAAAACAGTGTAATGAACAATGACTTAGAGCAGTGACTATTTTGGGGGAGTCTCCTCTAGTTCTTAACAACTTCATGGTGACAACAAGACTTTTTGTAAATCCACAAATAGTTTTTTTTTTACACACTTTTTTCTTTATGATAAGATAACCCAATTGGCTGCTTCATATTTAACAGACTGACATGAGTGATGCTGATCATCTTCTTTAACTCTTTGTAAGAAAGTAAATAAGCATAAATGCTGAACTATTCCTTTAACGATTGACTTAACTCCAGCTTAAATAATTGTTTTTGTTGGCATCAAGTGGGTTAACTTCTCACCCTGGATATAATGGTTGGTGCAGAATGGTGATTCAAGAAAAAAAAATGCTGTTCTCCTTTGAATCCTGAAGCTTTAAATATTCAAATTCTTTTCTGTTGGCCTACTTTCATAGTAACACACAGTGCCAAACAACATAATTGATTCAGAAGTGCAAGGCGTGTGATTTAAGTTGGCAAAGCTACCTTACCTGTTTGTCCCCCAGGCACGTGGTTAACAAAATGAACAAACCCTGCAAATAAAATGACATTGGTTATTGACTGAGAGATATTTCCGCTGGTTCAGATGTTTAGGTGAAGATTATATTGACCATACCTGGAATGCGTTTAGCAGGGTGAAGGCATAATGGACTGCAAAGGTTATGTTTCCAGAGGTGAGATCAAGAGCCATTACACCAAATCCAAAGAGCCAAGTGACACCAAAGATTGGAGTATAGAGAATAACTGATCTTATGACAGTTCTGGTAGCTGTTTTTTCAACAAAGTTCTCTGTGCTCACAGGGTGATCCAAAAGCTTCAGGATTACCACACCCATGGAGAAAATATTAATGAAAACAATGACACCAACTGGTATAAAAAATGTATGAATAGACCCTTTTAAAAGTCCATCATATATCAGCCAACAGGTATCACGGGAGTAGTACAAGCCTTCAGCACCACCATTGTTGGCTAGAGCTGTGATAGTAACAATAAGGAAAGGACACACATAGCCCAGGACTAACGAGAACCTCAGGTAGTTGTTCTTACTCACATGGTGGAACATAAAAACGGTCTGATGAAGAAGCATGACGCTCAAAGACAACATCCAAAAGAACATGGACAGGTAACAAAAATGCTTCAACACCACCAAGGTCTTACACCAGATTTCTGAAATATTATTTGGATCAGAAGATCCTAAGAAACAGCAATCTGCAATTAGCAAGACAAGACAAATGTTTATGTGGGCAGTATGGCGTACATGTGAATTACTTGTTTTAACGACAGCACTCCAGACTATCACTTCAATAACGAGACTAATAGCGAGAGACAAGATTGAGACAGACAGTCCAGCATAGGTCATCTCATTAATCCCAGGGACCTTCACTTGAGACCTTGACATTAGAATGGCAAATGATGACAAATGGTTGCATACACAGCGTCCTTCATTTGAAGAACCCTGCCATTTGCATCCATGTGGTGACCATGTTCTGGTGGCGTTGTCCCATGCGACACAGTCTATTCGAACATTGCGAGGCCTTGGTTTGAGCAATTGGAAGTCAATCTGAAGCTCAACTGAATCCAGTTGTTTGTTGTCAGTAGTTGTTGACACAATAATGCTGTTAGGTGTGCGCTCGTCATCAGAGGTGGGCCAGTAGTTCTCCAATTGTTTAAACCCAGCTGTTGTTACATTTTGGGCATCTGAGTTACCAAGACTGACTGAGACATTGAACACTGTGTTGGTGCAGTTTGGTTTACTGCATGCAGCTACCTCTATATTTGTTTTTTTCTTGACAGTTGTTATGCTTGTACCATCAATTAGTTGCTCAACAGAATCCAGATATATCTCTGCCAATGAAAGATTGTCTTTGTTAGGGTTAGACTTCCAAGATTGTTCAAGAGAGCTTTCTAGCATATTGCTGGATGACTCCAGAAGATCCTGAAAAGAAAAGAGGCTCATTTTAATAGCAGTTGATTTAAGTACAACATGTGCCCTCATGGGTAGGAAAAGCTTTTTCCTGCTTGTGTTCATTACAAAAAAGAATATGCATGAATATATGGGAAATATGCCTAGTTGACAGTATTCATACTCAATACTGACAAAAAAGAACCAATATGGAAGTTTAAAGTTGTAATCCTTAAGATTTCTGTCCTGGTTGATGTGATGACATACAGTACGTGGTTGGTGGTATTTAATACAAATGCAAGCACTCACTGAGCAGCCTCTTTGTTAAAAATTCTGAGAAAGTACATCTGATAAAATGGTTCTCCCACTTTTAATAAGAAGTCCGTCCATCTTTTGCATTTTGAACTGGGTCTGATTTTGAGAAGTTCGCCCTTTTAATATGAAGCAGCAGCAAGAGGAAACATTTGGTTTGCATTAACAGTAACCTAATGCAAATCTGACATGGTGTAAAGCTCGTGAACAGTAAACATTGAGGCCGTTTATAATTAAAAGATAATTTTCACTGGTATCCATGCCTAAATTTTTGTGAAAGTAATCCGATCCCAGCACAGGAATGGCGGACTCCACCATTACTTCTTCTTCTTCTTTCGGCTGTTCCCATTAGGGGTCGCCACAGCGAATCATCTGTTTCCACCTAACTCTATCCTCAGCATCCACTACTCTCACCCCAATTAACTTCATGTCCTCTTTTAGCACAGGACTCCACCATTACTATACAGTAAATATAGGCTATTACTGAATATAAATACACTGAGTAGCTATTGCAGAAAAAAACTGAATCAAAACAGGGTTTGATATTTTTAAATTCATAAAGGTTATAACTATAAATGAAGAAATGTTTATCAACAAATCCCCTTTAACCTCCATACTGGTTAAAACCCAATAATAACATCAAACAAAAAACAAACATTTTGTAATACTTACATTCACTGCTGAGTCATTATTTATGCTTTGCAACTTGTGACTCAAACTGACGAGTACATGGACGGATGCATTTACATTGGCAAAAGTGTTGATGGTATCTGTCTTATTAGTGGCATTCTGAAGGCGGGAAAGTACATTTGCAGCATTTGTATCATATGAGCCAAGTCCAACATCAACGATCTGTAACAACAGTGATAGTTAATTGCTGATTAACTGTGTCAAAATGTAAAGTACAAGCTACCACCAAGGATTTCATCTACAAACACCTGAAGGTAACCAGTTAATGCATAAAAGTAGATAATCCCTTATGTAAAAATATCATTTTGTGGTATGACTTTTTGCTCACAAAATGTTATAGGCTAGCTTTTGAATACCAGGCTTTATTGCTTTATATTTTGCAAATGTGAAATGAATAATTTCTCCATTAAATAATAGAGATCTTGTTATTTAACTGTAGTTATTAAAGTTAAGCATACATTTGCACTTTGCAGCACACCGGCCAAATCCGAGTTCACGCACGCCGACACCTCGTTTTCCCATGTCTCTGGAGTGCTGAAATGGTTATTGGACTAATACATTAGTCGGTCAACAGAAAAACAATCATCAACAGACATCATTATTTTTTGTTTCAGCTCCTCAGATTATTTGTAAGTTTAAATTTTGGGTAAAATTAAGTGTGTTTGGCATATGACGCTATTTTTGGACAATATGACTGACAGGTAAATGGGAAAAATAATTCTGACACTGTTTGTTTTTAAAAAATAATAATCATTATTTTCAGCCCTACCCAGCTGTGCATTTCCTTTGTCGTTTTCCAGTTGCATTCATGCATTTTATCTCTGCAGTGTATCCAGCTTTGGTGTCTTTCCAGTCACCTTCAGCTACACAAAATTGATCCTTTTCTGTTTGGAAGGAGAAACGGTCAAGCTTGATTTATCATTTATTACAACCGGTAACAAACAACTTGTATAAATTTAACTTGAGGATAACAAGAGGTTATTCTGAAATTCTGCTGGAGCACGTAAAGATCACCGAGACATAAAATATTTCATATGCCATACAAATATTTGCTGTGAGAATTTAGCAAACAATTAATATATTGCTAGCACATATGGAGTGATGTTGAAAAAGCTGTTCTTTTCTGACAACATCTGAACTAAAACATACCATATATGATAGTGATACCAACTGAAGCACTTCTGCTTTGATTGCACCTGTTTGTAAATGTGCACGTTACTTGTGGAATCACGCTTGGATTCATACAGTTAACCGCTGTATCACCTACATGAACAGAAGAACCTGAAGAACCTGCAAGGATCACATATGCATGTCATATATTTTCAGAACAAATTTGCATAGGGGTTAATTTAAACAAATAGTCAAAGAAAATTAACACAAAAAATGTACTTACTAGAAGGTTTTACTGAAATTATGTCAGCCATGATGTTTTGGCTTGTCCAATTCACTGTGTAATTTTCATTGTCTTCATTGCCTATATCACAGATGACTCTGACTTTCACTAAATCTGTATTTGGTTTACAACGTGGAAATTGTGGTTCTGTGGTGATGTCAATCTTTGGCAGGAGGGAAACATCCATTACAGCGCTGGCTTTGTGAAGTATGGTGACTTCTTGTGTTAAGCCTTGTGTGTAGGTACATGTGTACTCTCCTAAGAAAAAAAAAAGAAATAGGGATGAGAGGGAAAGCCACCATGTGTACAACATTTATATACTCTAATTACTCTGTGTTTGTGAGAAAAATAAATGGCCACAGTGAAAATCCATCAGATTATTTTACACAGGGTTTTCCCTTAAGCACAAACCAGTCCTACCACCTCAACTAAGTACCCACTGTTCATTCAGCATCTGTAATTTAACCTGCAACAACAGATTTTTTGGACCACTTATGGGAACCAGAAACAAGTGAACACAATGCTGACATACTGTATCTTCACCTTTAACATTTTTTTTACATATGCAGCAGCCTCTCCAAAGCCTGTAAACTGACTTTGGCCTTGTAATCAGTTGAATAATATAGTAAATAAAGCAGTCAGACAAATTCAGTGGAGTAAAAACACCTCACTTCCCTCAAAAATGCTGTGGAGTAGAAGTGTAAAGTGGTGCGACATCAAAATACTCAAGTAAATTAAAAGTATCTCAAAACTGCACTTAAGTATTTGACTAAATGTGCTTCTTTACGTTCTATCACTAATTTCTCATGTACACACTCACTATAAGCCAGCTGGCTGAAACAAACATACCTTTCCAGAGTTCTGTTATTTTTCTAAGTGTAACGTTGGCACCCCTTGTTGTTGCCATCACCTCAGACTCTGTGCCAGTTGTTATTTCATATATCTTGCCTTCTTTCTTCAGCTGCCACACTGGTACGGTGTTCAGATCCTCTTGTGATGAGCACATGAGTATGAACAACGAGTCGTAACACACAGGGTTAGAGGGCATTTTTAAATGGACAACACCTGTGGAAAAACAGGAGTTCAATCAGTCTATAAACCATGAATAAGCAACATTCAGAAGGTATGATGTGTGTGTGTGTGTGTGTCATTGTACTTTGAGGGTTAGAGTATACAACTTCACTTAAAGCCATAAATAACTAATAAATAAAACCAAATCAGAAACTGGAATGGTACGTAAAGTTAAAATTAAAACTGAAAATAGTGATTTATAGTGATAAATAGTGATCATCTGTGTCCTGTATCACATTGAAAACAATACAGCTGCACATTACTTTACATGACACCCCATCAATTTTATTCTTTGTTCAAAATAAACACTCATTTCAATTCTGATGCCCGCAACACATTCCAGCAAAAGTTGGCACGGCTGCATTTCAGGACCAGTAATGAGGTGAAACAATGAAATGATGATTCCACTTGAACCAGGTGATGTCAACAGGTGCCTGCATCATGATTTGGTACAACAGTGGCACCAGGAAAGGCCGAGCCCCTTAGGAGCAAAGATGGGCCAAGGACCGCCGGTTTGCCAACATGCAGTGTGTGTGAGAAAATCACTGAAATGTTTAAAAACAATTATCTTTGTCATGTGTTCTTCGTTCCCTATTACTTTCAGTGGTAGTAGCCTGTCACTGAACAGTACCTCTCATTGTTAATAATACAAACGGACTGATCGACACTGGGCCGATCAAATGACAGAACTAAAATATAATCTAACAAATGATTCAAGGTAATTATGATCAGTTAAAGCCTAGATTGTAGGAAAAACAGACCAGGTAACAGGTGTGTCCCTCCCCTCCATTAGATAATTACCTGTAGTTTCCATATTAAGCAAGGCTGATAGATTTTTGGTCAGCTGATTTGATTTAGCAATCAGATCTTGTTGCAGGCTGTTGGAAACGATGCTTACTTCAAAATTTGCGATGATGCTTCCAACACTTTATTGAGGGAAAAAAATACAGATTTCAGGCACATATTGAAAACATATCCTAGTAAACATAACACAAACAATTTTAGCTAGTAAGCAAAGCAAATACCTGTAGTTGGTAATAGTTAAAATGTCAAATCCTCTTAAAGTGCTGAACACTCTGTTCATCTGAAAGGCAGCAACTCATTCACTTAATCATTTTTCACATAGATATACTACTGGCAAATGAAAAAAACTATATTAATTATGTTATCCCTACTTCTTATGTGTTATTTAGTCATAAACCCTTTGTTTTTACCGTTTCTGACAAATTCTTATTACACTTGGCAAACTCTTCAGTGGTATTTTTTGCCAGACAACCTTGATACTGTAGTCCCTTCAAAGTAATGGCTCCTTGAATAGAAACTGTGAAGAAAAAAAAGTCATCAGTTTTTGGGATATTTGTGGGATACACACAAAATACACACATACTGTATATGCATGTGACAACACAGTAAAAATAACCCAGTACCTGTATTTTCTGAAACACACATGTGAGACGGGCTTTGTGGGAAGATGCAGGTCTGGGTGCCACAACACATCTGATTGGACTGACACACCTCGTCACTCCATCTGTGGTTTTGCGTGCAGTTACAGTTTGTGCCAGTATCTGGGACACTCTTACAGACTGATTAGAAAAAAAAAACACAGTAGTTTTACTCTGGAATCAATTCTTCTTGTCATTATTAAAATCAACGAGAACATGCACTATTTGAAATTTGAAATGGAAAATATTAGAAAATTGTTTACTTGTTGTCATGTTAAGGTCATTGATAGTCCAGGCATCATTCACAAGTGTCAGTTTTGTTGTTATGTTACTCCGTGCACTTTCTTCTATTGTCAGTTTGAAATAATGCATTTGTGTTGAGTTGCCTGAAACATCTAAAGAGACAGCCATCAAAAACACTATATCTGTTTAAGGACAATGCTACATAGCCATACACACAAAGCACAGTTTGAAATTCATACAAATCATTTTACCGTTCCCAGAAGCCTGTAAAAGTAAAAAGCAAAGAATTTAATTAAATACAACTTAATGCTGCAAGTTAAAGATCTAATCCTGTGTCGTCCTGTGCTGCTGACTAACCTGACAGATGCTTAGTCCCAGGTTATAAATAAGTATAAAGGTCCACATCCTGATCCTGCAAGTAATAAATAACAAAAGACATTTTACTCCAGCTATT